TATCTAAGAGGCTTTGACGCATTGCATACTCAAAGGGTGGATGGTGCTGAAAACCCTTAGGTTGAGCTGATGCTGAACCTTACTTAACCTGAAGTCTCCAGGTTAAGGGGAAAAGGTGGAGAGGGTATGGAAGTTTTAAGTTTTTGTAAAAAGAAAACCTGAAAGTTCATGGGGTTTTCTTGGTAGAGCTTTAAAATGTATTTCTTGCTGCCTGGATTAGTTTTCTAGAACAGAAATCTGATCTACTACTTTAAATATTTCAGTAGTTCCCATCTCTTTCAACAGAATGTTAAGATCTACTTTAAGCAGTTTCCTTGGGAGGAGAAATGGTACGCTAGACTCGAAGGTAACCCTCTAGAATTTTGAAGCTATTGACTGCAAACCAGATTTTTTTTTTTCTTTTTAAAATTTTTTAAATTTTTGACAAGGTGGTAGTAAGAACACAGAAATTTGAAAGGAAATGGCAATACATCCAATTTTATTTTGGGCATAGAAGAGTTTTATGGATAATTTGGCCTGCTAAAGAATACTTTATGTGGTATTTATTATTATTTCCAAGTAGGTTTTTGATTGTGTACTATGTGCAAAAAACTTGTGCTAAAGTGTAAGACAAAAATAAAGCAAACTGCCTCAAGTTCTCCTGTCTGATGTTGATGTGTATAGTTTTTTGGGGGGAGGGGGGCGTGGAGGGTTGCACAGATGACTTTCTTAGTCAAATGTGACCGGTAGCAATGGTAAGGTCTAAGGAAGAAAAATAATTCTAAGGGCTTTTTCTCACCTGTCCCAAGTCTTTAGGTGGGTGTGCCTTAGTTTGGGGGTCAGTTGTGATGTGCTGTCATATGCCACTGAGGCCCCTTGGGAGGGAGAGATGCTTCGGGAGAAGGGCAGGGCCTGCACCGACCCAGCTAGTGCATTTTACTCAACTGCCCTGCCTCCTTCATCCCAAAAATGTCCCAGAAAAGCAAATCACAGGACAGAATGAGTCTTCATTCTGAGTTTTATTAATTTAAAGTAGTTCTCGGAAGTAGTCTTGCTGATGTAATTACAGAATACACAGCAAGTGGGTTAGCCTTCATCCTAAGCACAGAATGCTTTTTAAGTTATTTCTTTTAACTCGCTAAACTAAGATTAATTCCCTGGGTGAAAATTTCAGGTTGCTTGACAAGTGTTTTCAGTTCAGGGGACCCTCCTCATGATGAGTGTGAGTTGCTTCCCCCTCCCCCACTTGAATGTAGGTGTTGAAGAACCTCTCTCCTCTCAGTTCCTTTTCACCTCTCATTCATTCGTTTGTTTATTCAATAAACATTTACTAAACATTTTCTATGTGAGGCACTAGGGGTAATGAGATTAACACCTTCAGTCACTAACCAAACTGGACCAGTTACCATCCCAAATACGTTTTTATGATGGTTTCACAGCCTGGATGGTTTCACAATTTCCTTTGCTTGGTAACCTTTCCTGTCCTCCACAATGTAACTGAAATGCCTGTCACCCCAGATAAAATGAGCACCTCATTTCTGCAGCTCTGTTTTCCACTTCCTTATTAAACAAGTGACAGTTCAAAATAGAAAAATCCTCTCTCCGTTTTGTAGCTGAAGACATCTTCTCAGAGAAGATGGATGCGCCTGACCCGGACAGCAGTAGCAGAATGAGGTTGAACCCAGGCTGTGGCTCGGAAGCCTGTGTCCCCCATGACGGTATAGGTGCTGATTTTTCCAGAACCAGCTTTTCTGGGTGCTGAACAACACTGAGCAGCTCTCGAGGTTTCCGAGCCCTCCTCTGTAAGATGATCGCGTGGCCTCTCTCCGCTTCCGTGAGCTGTGAGCGTGGCAGTGCTCCGGAGTGCGTCTCTGCACTGTTTCACGAAGCGCCGCAGCGGTGCCAGGTGTGGTGTGGCTGTCAGCATGGCAGACAGTTTTGTTTTCTGTGTGAAGGTTATGAACCTAGACAGGTTCCTTATATGGTCTTCCTACATTAGTATGTCCCTGAAAACTTCCACAGAAAGGAGCTTTATATAAAGGCTTTCTGCTTGTGAAGTGCCTTGTGATTACAAGTGGTAGAGCTATCATAGTTGTTTCTATACTTTTCTTTCCTAGCGACCAGATGTTTCTTTTCCTGAGGCTGGAAATGCGCGGTGGTTGTGGGAGTGCTGAGACAACGTCAGTTCTTTCGAAGTGATGCTTTAGGCCCATGTCACAGGATCAGCTTCCAGACAGAGCCACTTAGAAGGGTGCCCTTCTGGTGTTTCAGTAACTAAATCCCATGGCGAGGGTCACAGTGGATTGGCAACAGATTAAATTTCTCTCTTAAGATAAAATGGTGTTACAGTGTGGTTTTAGTGTAATGCCAGAGAACATTATATATGGATTTTTAAATTAATTTTTGAGTAGTAATATGTGCACACAGTACAGAATTTTTCCTATGCCAACTCCTCTCATAGAGGCAGTAGGCCGCAGTCTCTGGGGCCACCTTCCAGAGGTGGTCTAGACCAGCGGTCGCCAACCTTTTGGACGTCACAGACCACCAGTGGTCCGCGGTCTAGACTGACACGGCCATGTAGGTCTCTGGTCCACACAGTTTTACATGATGCATCTTTTCTCATCTGTGTAGCTTGAGTACTATCAGTGTTGACGGAGCTGCTGCCTCCATCTGTGTACATATACTGTTATTATATGTTTTATATAGCTGCTTTCTTACTGATGGGTGTTTAGATTGTGATAGCAAAAACAGAAGACATTGGCAATCAGTATCTTTGTAGATAGCCTCACGTGTGCATATGTATGTACATCTGTGCCATTAAGTTCTTGGGTGTGAAATCAATGGGTCAAGAGACGTGTTTTAAAAACGTGTTGATACCCATTGGCCTCCACCCCAGATTGTAATAATTCACTAACCCTCAGTGTGTAAGGGTGCGAATTGGTGCGCACTCTTGTCAGTACAGTGTATTGCACAAGTTTATTTTTGGCAGTGCTACAGGTAAAATGTTTCTATCTCTTCCACAACTTTTCATATGTCTAAAATCCACTTACTGGAGAGAAACTGTACAGTTTCTTTTTGAGGTGATGAAAATGTTATGGAATTAGACAGTGATGCTTTCATACTTTTGTAAATATACTTAAAATCACGGGACCGGACCCATTAAAAAGGGTGAATTTTATGGCATGTGAATTGTATCTTGCTAAAGCTGCTATTTTAAAAAATAAAACCCATTTGTATTTTCCTTTCTGCACACTGACTTCATTTCCCTTGTTTCTCTGTTGTTCTTTTTCTTGTAGGCAGTTAGTTTTGTTTTTGTTATGTTTCATGCATGTCTCCACAGTTGCCCATTTTCTCTTTTAATCTTGATTCCTTGGTTTCGCTCTTTAGACATGTAGAAGTTTTTCATTGTTATATATGGTTAGTCAAATCCTTTTTTTTTTCCTTTTAAGAAAATTTGACGTGGTTTTTCATACTTGGAAAGGTTTTTCTTCAATATTATATATATTTAAATTCCCATGTTTCTTCTACCTCTTTTATGTTTACTGTTTAAATATATTTAAATCTTTGCTTCTAAATCTTTAGAATTTCTTTTGGCCTAAATTGTGAGGAAGGGATAATAGCTTTTTTTCTTCAGATGATACCCAATTGCCCCCATACTTAAAAAATAATAATAATAACATACATTTTAGCCCATCGATTTGAAATTCCACTTTTTTTATTTTTATTTTTTTTAAGAGAGAGGGAAAGAGAGATAAAACATCAATGATCAGAGAGAATCATTGATCGGCTGCTTCCTGCACACCCCACACTGGGGATCGAGCCCGCAACCCCGGGCCTGTGCCCTTGACTGGAATCAAACCAGGAACACTTCAGTCCACAGGCCGATGCTCTATCCACTGAGCCAAACCAGCTAGGGCTGAAATTCCACTTTTATCATTTCCTAAATTCTTTCATGTTTTGTGGTCTAAATTCTGGGGTTTTTATTCTGCCCCATTCTTGTCATCTCTTATGTTACTATCACACTATTTTAATAACTTTAAATATAAAGACTTGTAAAACACTGTTTAAAAGTTTGCCTTATCATTCTTGATTATTTTTCCCTTAAGTGACATTTTATTGTTCTTGCATTAACTTATAGAGATGTTCATGAACTTGATTATTTCACTCCTTCACTGTGTCTCTTACTTTCTTGTCTTACTGTCTGTTCATTGTCTGTCAGAGCAATCTATAATAATAAAAGCGTAATATGCTAATTAGACCAGGCAGCCGAACGACCTTCCGGACATCATTCCAGATGTCTTTCCGAACGAAGCCGTGGTGGCGGGGGCTGAGGCAGAGGCGGTTAGGGGCGATCAGGCAGGCAGGCGAGTGGTTAGGAGCCAGTGGTCCCGGATTGTGAGAGGGATATCTGACTGCCGGTAACTGGCAGTTGGACATTTTCCGAGGGGTACCAGATTGTGAGAGGGTTCAGGCCAGGCTAAGGGACCCCCCCCCCCAACCCCCCATGCACGAATTTCGTGCAACGGGCCTCTAGTGTTAAATAGTAGTGATCACAGGAGACATTCTCAGCTTGCCTCCCTGAGTTTAGTGCACATGCTTTAGGAATGAGGTAGTAGTATTCATACATGAAATTGGGCTGTGTGGTTCTTTTACTTGTTTTTTATTACCAAGTTTGGTTCTATTGTCATAGAACTAATTTTAAAATGTATTTTTTAAATCTGCTGTGGAACAATTTAAATGTCATTGGTGTTGCTCACCCTTAAGAGGTTTGGTGGCAGAATTCATCCATGAACCGGAGTGGGGCTCTTGTTCTTTGGGGAGGCAGTTCTTACTGATTTATTCTACTTCCCATGTAGTCAGCCTGTTTTCTTTTGGGACCACTATGTTTTCCTTAAAAATTACCCATTTTATCAAAGTTTTTGGATGTATATGCATGGATGAGTCATAGTATTCTTAAGTTTCTCTTAACTTTTTATCTTATTTTGCATTCTCTATGTTGATTTCTTTGTTCTTTCTTACAGGAACGGGAAATATAGTGGTCATTATGGTTAGCTACTCGAAAGGAAAAGAAATTTTGGATCTGGTACAAAAAGAAATTCAAGTCAAAATGACCATAGGGGTTGGGACCCGCCATGTCCAGGAGTTCATCAGTGGCCAGTCAGTGGTGTTTGTGGCCATCGCCTTCATCACCATGATGATCATCTCATTAGCGTGGCTGATATTTTACTATATACAGCGTTTCCTTTATACTGGCTCACAGTTTGGAAGCCAGGTAATTATGGATGATTCTTTTTAATTTTGCTTTTTAAAAGATAGTTTGTAGATATTTTCCATATGTATTGTTTGAAGTTGTATTGGACCCTATGCTTAATTTCATTTTCACTCATAATAGTTAGGTATTAATATGATGGTTTTTCTGCAAATAACTTTTAAATTAAAACATATTAAATTTCCTGTTCTGTGGGGAATCAGATATCTTTAAATGCAGGTCACTTTTTGCATGTTTTGCGAACATAATGGAATGACAAAGGGGCGTGAGGTAGAGGGGACCTGGTTCTGTTTAACAGGAGAACTCTGGGCCCTGTGCTGAGGAAGAGCAGAAGGGCTTCCCTGTCTTCTGTGGAGCAGCTGCAGAGCCAGAGCTCCAACACTGACTTTCACACTCTGGCCTCTGGTCTCTGTCGTCCGGAAAAGTCGCCCTTCCTGACCTGTAGGCATTAGAGGGTCATTTCTAAGTCATCTTCTACCTGTTGGCTAGGAAGCCCCTTTCCTATTAGGGAAGTTAATAGTTGGTAGCCCCATCCTTAGCTTACTACTTTATTGCCAATATTTAAACACTAGAGGCCCGACGCACGAAAATTCGTGCAAGAGTAGGCCTTCCTTCCCCCGGCTGCCAGCATTGGCTTCCCTCTGGCACCCGGACCCGGGCTGGCTTCTCTTGAGCCACTGGCAGGCACCCAGGACCCGGTCTGGCTTCCCTTGGGCCGCCCGCAGGCACCCAGGACCTGGGCTGGCTTCCCTCCGGCCATGGCTTCATCAGGAAGGACATCCAGAATGACGTCTAGCATGTTACCCTTTTATTATTATAGATAAGAATTGGAATTGGGTTCTTGTTAGGCATGGAATTGAAAATAGTACCCCTCCCCCCCATTGCAGTTTACATTCAGTATTGTTTTGTACAGCTTAGACAAACATATACTTTACAAAGTGGACCCCCCTGTATTTCCAGCACCCACCTGGCACCATTCATAGCTATCTATATATATAAAAGGCTAATATGCTAAGTGTCTGTCGACCAGTAGCTATGATGTGCACTGACCACCCGGGGCAGATGCTCAACGCAGGAGCTGCCGAGCTGCAGTGACTTGGCAGCAGCGGTTCTCAGGTGATGCACCCCGAAACCAGAGAGGAGGGAGCCCGATTCCTTGGGGTGCCACGTGATTCCACCTTCGGCTGTGTGTTATGTTGTTGTTGGGGCACTGTCGGCCCGAATCTGGTTAACTGCACACTTGCATTTGTGTTTCACACCCTGTATGACAGCAATTTTGTAGAGTGTCCTCGCGCACTCCGGGATCCCTCGGGGGATGTTGGAGAGCCGGTTTCGGCCTGATCCCCGCAGGCCAGACCGAGGGACCCCACTCACTCCGCAGAGGCCCTTAGAGCCACGGGACCACCCCAGGTGCGGCCAGCCGGGGAGAGGCCATGGGATGTTGGCTCCAGGGCGTGTCTGGCCCAGTCCCGCCCCACTGGCTACCTTCTAATTAATTTCCTTTCAATGTTCACGAACCTGTGCACCAGGTCACTCATTAACTATATTTCCTGTGCTACACTTTGCATCCCAATGACTAGTCTGTAACTACCAGTCTGTACTTCTCAATCCTGTCACCTTTTTCACCCAGTCCCCCAATTCCCCTTCCATCCGGCAGCCATCGGTCTGTTCTCTGTAACTGTGAGTCTGTTTCTGTATTGTTTGTTTGCTTGTATTGTTCTTTAGATTCCACATATAAGAAAATCATATGGTATTTGTCTTTCTGTGACTGACTCATAATGTGACAGCATAGCTGGATCTGGAGGGTATTATGCTAAGTGAAAATAAGTATTTTGATCAAATAGTTCAAGTTATATGTGCTTATTCTGTACATTTAGACAAATGGTAATTTTAAAGTTATTTCATTATAGTCATTTAACTTTGCTTTGTAAATGAATTTCTTCTGTAAGCTTCCTAACATTTTATGAATTTTTTAAAATAATGATTTTACACAAATTTTCAATAATAATAACAATTTTTTTTTCTACCTAAGAGCCATAGAAAAGAAACCAAGAAAGTTATTGGCCAACTTCCGCTTCATACTATAAAGCATGGAGAAAAGGTAATATTTTTGTGGTTTGTGTTTTCTGTTTTGTTTTTGGTTTAGACTAGACTATACGACTGTCTGTGTGTCTAAGTAAGCCTTTCCAGTCTGCTATATTCACAGTGTAGAACACATGAAGTTTTAACTAGTTGAGTGAATACTAACTCATTTTATATGTGTTCATTTTAGAGCAAGGTTGTCAGAAATAATTCGGTTGCATATGTGATGAGCTTTTCAGACCTACGGTAGCCACTAGCCATACACAGGTACTTGAATTTAAATGAATTAAATTAAACCTAAAATTCAGTTCTTTCACCACACTAGCTACATTCCAATGCTCCAATTAGCCACAGTGGCTGATAGCTACTACCCTGGACAGTGTTAGTATGTCCATCATCGCAAAGCCTCTCCCTGGTGGTCAGTCTTAGGTGACGCTAAAGAAGATAGAGAAGCTAAAGTCTCTACCACAGACCCTTGGAAATTTAAATTCATCTTTTTTGAATCTGAGACTGTTTATTCTCTCAAATTCCTTGGATATGTGAAGGAGGGGAGAAAAGATATTTTTAAAAGTACTCTTTTAGCCCTGACCACTTTGGCTCGGTGGATGGAGCGTCGGCCTGCGGACTGAAGGGTCCCGGGTTCGATTCCGGTCAAGGGCATGTGCCTTGGTTGCGGGCACTTCCCCAGTAGGGAGTGTTCAGGAGGCAACTGATCGATGTTTCTCTCTCATCGATGTTTCTAACTATCCCTCTCCCTTCCTCTCTGTAAAAAATCAATAAAATATATATATTTTTTAAAAAAGTACTCTTTTACAAAAGGAACATTTTTATATGGCCAACTCAGGACAAAATCATACTAGAGTTGAACCATTTTTAGAATAGGACAGATCCTGGATCTAGAACCTGAAATTTTGGAGGGTAGATTCCTTAAAAGGAAAACATTTGCTAACATAGCAGTGTTCATTCTTTTAATAGTCCATTTTTTGTGCCATGAAATGTTGATAACTATGTTGACAGCTGTAGGTTTGTTCAGTTTTGATCTCTGTTTTATCTCACTAAGTTGAGACTTAATCTATTTCACCCTCTAGTCTCTCCTTAAAAAACAAACTGTACTTGTATTTATTTCTTCCTTGGACCTACTTAAAGAATCAAAACAGAAATAACACATTAAATTACAGACCTTTGGTCTGAAAACTTTGGAATCTGATATTAGTGGTTTATGTGATGTCTTTCATATTAAGATACTAGAGGCCCGGTGCACAAAATTCGTGCACTCGGAGGGGGTCCCTCAGTCCAGCCTGAACCCTCTCGCAGTCTGGGAGCCCTTGGAAGATGTCCGACTGACGGCTTAGGTGGGAGTGGGCTTAAGCCACCAATCAGACATCCTTAGCACTGCCGCGATGTGGGAGAGGCTCCTGCCACCGCTGCTGTGCTCGCCAGCCGTGAGCCTGGCTCTGCTGAGCGGCGCGCCCCCTATGTGAGTGCACTGACCACCAGGGGGCAGCTCCTGCATCAGTGCATGCCATAAGGACTGGTCAACCGGTCGACTGTCTGCCCCCCTGGTGGTCAGTTTACGTCATAGCGAGTGGTTGAGTGGCCTTAGCATATCATTAGCATATTATGCTTTGATTGGTTGAATGGATGACTAGACACTTAGCATATTAGGCTTTTATTATATAGGACTCCTGGAATTGTATTGTTCACTGCCATCCCTTCCCTAAAGCCTTCACATTGGCGTAGCAGTTGAGTTTTAATAGTTTGTGCAAGGTGCCTTACAGATGTACTGAACAGAAAAAGTTAAAAAAACATTTCCCATCTTAAAGGTTAAGGTTGGCCTCCGATTTATAAAGCAAGGTCCTTGGAGAGAAAGTCTCCAGTGGTGAAGGCCTGTGACAGCTGCACCCTTGGTGCAGCCAGTGACCTGACAGGCACAAGGTCTCGCGTGCCTCTCGCACTAGGTCTTCCACTCTCCGTGGTGGGAATTCTCACCGTTAAGTGAGAAGACAGATTTATATGTATATTTTACTGAGTTGAGTCTTTGAGCACATAAGTAAATTGATAGTGTCCTGTTTCTATGCAGAACATTTTGGAAAATATACTTCCATGGACTGGTTTTTGAAAGTTGTCAAAATAGTGGTTTAAAAAAGAGGATTCATAAGTGGCCCATCATGAATTTTTTGACAATTTTATGTTTTAAACTTGTATGCAAAAATGTTGTTTAAATACACACACACACACTCTATGTAATAAAAGGCTAATATGCAAATTATCCCCTTCGGGAGTTTGACTGCTTCCTATGACATGCACTGACCACCAGGGGGCAGCGCAGAACAAAGGAAGGTCCTGGCTGGCAGCTGGGGGAAGAAAGCCCTGATCACCAGCCAGACCTAGGGACCCTACTGGTGCACAAATTCGTGTACCGGGCCTCTAGTATCTAATATATAAAAAGCCTGTGTTTGCAACAACCAAAACGACCAAACGAACGGTCACCAGGAAGTGCATGGAGCACCTCTCAGTCCCTCCCCCATGGCCCACAGGCTCCTATCACAGCAAGGCTGGCGGCTGGTGGGCAGCGAGGCAGGTGCAACAAGGTCATTACACCTCCACCCTGTAGAGAGAGGCAGGGCCTGCTCCGCAGCTGCCCCAGAGGCTGCAGATCAGGCCCGGAGACAGGCCCAGAGAGAGAGACAGCTGTCAGCGGGCCATTCTGGATTTCCCAGAGGAGCCAATGGCTGCCTAGGAGGAGGAGCTTTTGATGCTGACTGGCATAGAAACTGACCAATCAGAATCTAATCTCGGTGAACTGCGAAGGCAGAACCTAAGGTGAGGGCTGAAGAGGGGTTTTAAGGGCAACAGCTGTTTGGTGTAAGGTGTAAGAAAGCGGTTCAATTTTTTAATAACCGGTTTGTCAGTATTGTGCATATGGCTGGCTATCAGTCCAGATATAGGGGTTATATATTTTTGTCTGCCAAAAGCATCTCCTCCTGCTGAAAAAGGCTCCCCTCCCCCCCCATTTAAGCAATCCTAGCCTATATAATCTATACCAATAAAAGAGTAATATGCTAATTAGACTGGATCACCCAGCCATCTTCCAGACGTCTGACTTCCTTCTGGACAAAGCCATGGTAGTGGGGGCCAAGGCAGAGGCAGTTAGGGGCGAGAACCCGCTGACAGGGGGTTAGGGATGAGATCAGGCCACAGGGGTGGGCAGTTGGGGGCAACCAGGCTGGCAGGGGAGGGCCGTTGGGAGCAACCAGGCCTGCAGGGGAGGGCCATTGGGGGCGAGGCAGAGAGGCAGGTGAGTGGTTAGGAGCCAGTGGTCCTGGAATGCGAGAGGAATGTCTGTGCAGGGATCAGGCCTAAACTGGCAGTCGGACATCCCCCGAGGGGTCCCAGATTGGAGAGGGTGCAGGCCGGGCTGAGGGACAACCCCCCACCCCCGTGCATGAATTTCGTGCACCAGGCGTCTAATATATATATATATATATATACACATACACACACACACACACACCTACATACATACATACACATACATACATACATACATACATATATATATATATTAGACGGCAAAGAGAGAGGGCGGGGGGGGGGACGACACTAGTTTGTTGTTCCACTTATTTATTCATTCATTGGTTGCTTCTTGTATGTGCCTGACCCCTGACTGGGGATTGAACCCACAACTTGGCGTATTGGGACAACACTCTAACCAACTGAGCTACCTAGCCAGGGTCTTCTTAAATCTACATCTTGTTCAGTTCCGGAGGCTAGTGTCTGTTTTCTAACTTTTCTTGCGGACTCATTCACAGTAATGTATAAGTTTTTAAATCATTAGGGACTTTAAAAATGATTTCATCACTCTTGCATGGCATATGATAAATAGTAGGTGATATTTACTTTAGTTGTAACATACAATTTTAAGTGTTGCTATAAAGTTCATTTTAATACAATCTTTGATAACTATCTACATATAAAATCAGTTTTTACTGCTTATTTGTTAACAACTGATACACATGGTGAAATATATTTTAAAATAATTACGGTCTAACCCAGCCGTGGGCAAACTACAGCCCGCGGGCCAGATCCAGCCCGTTTGAAATGAATAAAACTAAAAAAAAAAAAAAAGACCGTACCCTTTTATGTAATGATGTTTACTTTGAATTCATATTAGTTCACACAAACACTCCATCCATGCTTTTGTTCCGGCCCTCTGGTCCAGTTTAAGAACCCATTGTGGCCCTCGAGTCAAAAAGTTTGCCCACCCCTGGACCAAATTCCATACAATTAACTTGCCAAAGTTGGAGCTACCTGACTGACTGGTGATTCCTGCATCCTCATCCCAAAGGCTTGGGAATAAGCATCTCCTTGGTCTTTCTGGGTCAGAGGGTCATCCGGCCCCACCTGCTTTGGTTGATGGGATGAGGCAGGTGGGTGGACCCAAGGGACCCAGGAGCGTGTCTGGTGGAAGGCGGACCCGCGGATCCTCAGAAGTGGGGACGTTGTCATTCGCCGCTGCCCCCCTGCAGTTTTTGTTTCTTTTTACCTTGGTTACTGTGGTAGGTGAGAAAATGGGGACAGTGCAGTTTGTAGTTCTTTCCTCGCTGGTGAGGCCTGTCCAGAGGCAGCCGTTTGCCTTTCCTCTTTCGCAGGTTGTGGCTGTGCTTCAGCAAACTCTCATGAACCTGCTCTCGTTTGTCTTTCTAGTGATTCCAGAAAACAAGCAGCCTGCTGGATATTCTTTCTCTATAGATGTCCCTAAGATAATTAATTTTATCATAATAGAGCAGATATTTGCATTTCTAAAGCCCTTAAAACATGAACACTTTAAAAAATGAAAACCATGAACACTGGCCTTGCATATAAACGCTATTCGTGTCTGATTGGACAGACAGTGACTCTATCTTTTCAGCCAAGTTCTGTGAGTGTGCTCCTGACAGTGGCACCAGTAAATGCCAGTAGGAACGGCATGTTTGGTTTCAGGCCGCACCCAAGGAACTGAACTGGAACTCGGCACGCTACCCAGGGTGCAGGGCGCTGCCCCAGGACGGGCTGCTGGGCCCGGCTAGTGAGTCCTCTTCTTTTCACAGGGAATCGACGTTGATGCTGAGAGTTGTGCCGTGTGCATTGAGAATTTCAAGGTGAAGGATGTGATCCGAATCCTGCCGTGCAAGTATGTTGTTTTACTTCCTGATTCGGGACTTAACTGACCCGTGGCTTCCGGGTCCCACAGGAGTCTCCTGTCTCTAGGATGTGAGCACCTAGCTGTCACGATGCCTCGTGACCGCCGCCTCCTCTAGAAAAGATGGCTCCCTGTATCCTGTAGCATTGAAATGCTTGCTCAGGAGTCTGGGGGAGACCTGGGAGACCCCGCTGTGGCTTTGTCATGGATTGGCTCTTTCAGGGGTGCTGTGGAAGGAGAGGGAGCTGCAGCCTGACAGGCGAGGCCCTGGCCCCGTGCTGGGATGGGGTGGCAGGAGGAGGGGAGGGCAGTGCCCTGCTGTTGCCTGCACCCTGGGCCTGGGCTCTTTGGGGGTGGCATGGGTAAATGTCCCCCCTTACTCCAGGTACATTAGGGGCTGGATTTTTTTTAGCAACAGGAAGTTATGTTTCCTTTTTAATAATGGGATATTTGATACCTATTTTAAAAAATTGCTTTGTTAGCAAAAGGGTGTGCAAAATTTATATGTTTAAGTGTGACTAGTTTTAATTATACTTCACAGCAATTAGAAGCAAGTCAGGAGTTCATACAGGTGGGGCCAAAGTAGGCTTACAGTGTGAGTACAAGAAACAGAGTTTATTCTTGTTATTATTTATTAATTATTGAAGCATTTCCCATGACAAACAACTGTAACCTATCATACTTTTGCCCCACCCTGTACATAATGACATGCTTTATGTTTGCAAAGTATTTTAATATATATACAAGTATTTTATAGTAGATTAAGTTCTCAGTAATTGTAGAGGAAATGAATAAATACCAGAATAACAAAATAAAAGTTTCCTGAATAAAGATGTATAACTTTAATCCATAGGCATTTGTAGGGGTTTGGTGCGATGGGTACTTAATGAATTGGAGTCAGTATAATATGTTGCCCATGTCCTCTAGAAAATTTAAAATAATTTTTAAATATATTTTTAAATATATTGACTTCAGAGAGAAAGGGAGAGGGGGAGAGAGAGAGAAACATCAATGATGAGACAGAGTCATTGATTGGCTGCCTCCTGCACACCCCCTACAGGAGACATGTGTCCTCAATCGGAATCGGACACGGGACCCTTCAGTCCGCAGGCGGGGCTCTACCCACTGAGCCACACTGGCTAGGGCTAGAAAGTTACTAAAACAGAAAAGTATTTTAACTCTAGGCTGGTTTAGGACAGGTCTTCACAGAGAAGCAAGCTAAGGCTGATTTCCTGTTTGTGTAGCGGCAGATATATCCTGACAGTGGAGCTGGAGTTTTTACCTGACCCCCACAAGCAAACATGTGACGTGCACACATTTCCTGGTCTCTTTACTGAGATTCTTGGGGGTTTTGACTTTTTCCTCCATTTTCTCTGGTGCCTTATTTAGTGAATTTTCCAATGTGGCCAATGTGTTTCTTTTAAGTTTTTGTAAAAATAATTCCTTTGGGTGAGTCAGTTTCAGATTGAAGGTGGAAAGGTCAAAAGCGAGGCTGGACTAGATGATGTGGAAGTGCGGTGGTTCTAACCGCACCAGCAGGCTGTGCGGTGCACAGCTCCTGTCTCGGTGCCCAGCACTGCTGCAGGCGCACTCCGCGCGCTCCTCGGGGAGCCGTGGTGCAGGGGCCGAGGTTCGGAACAGGGGCCCAGGCGCAGCGCCAGGCCACAGCGCTGATGTTCGAGCCCAGCCTGCCTGACCCAGCGCTGCCCTTAACCCTCACCTTCGCCGCATGAGCGCCAACCACGACAAATCAGTGAAAGAAAAGCATGCGCATGCGATTTATTTTATTCTGAAAGTGACGTGTTTGTTACAGAAAGTGTTTGTTAAGCCTGCAACCCAAAGACGATTTGCTAATATTTTGCTGTATTTCCATGCGAGTCATTTTATAGACAGATAGAAGATGCTGTCAGTTTGCTGTTGGTTTACTTATGCCACGTGTGTTTCCAAAGCGCTTCAGAAACACACAAATGCAACCCAGCTTAATGTGAACGTAACTGACATTTTTTGTAGCGTAAACGGGGAGTTTCTCTGTAAGACTCTGTTTAACATGGAAAATAGACTAGGTAAGAACTTACTGAATAGACTAGAGTTGATTGCATTTTTTAAAAATATTTTTTTATTGATCTCAGAGAGGAAGGGAGAGGGAGGGAGAAACATCAATGATGAGAGAGAGTCATGGATCGGCTGCATCCTGCACGCCCCTTCCTGGGGATCGAGCCCACAACCCAGGCATGTGCCCTGACCGGGAATTGAACCTTGACCTCCTGGTTCGTAGGTTGACGCTCAACCACTGAGCCACGCTGGCTGGATGGGATGTTATTTAATTGTAATGAGAAGATAAGTTGTTAGAATGTGTTGTTTCCTAGATAAGATGTAAACGTTGCTTGTAAAACATTAACACAACTTACTTTTTCAGGCATATTTTTCATAGAACGTGCATTGACCCCTGGCTTTTGGATCACCACACGTGTCCAATGTGTAAGCTCGATGTCATCAAAGCCCTGGGATACTGGGTTTGTTGCCTTTTGTTTCTATTCAATCACTGCCCCGTGCTTCCTGAGGGATGTGATGTCATTACTGACCAGAGGCCAGAGGGACGGACTGCAGACTCCTTCTCTGAAGAAATTTTCCTCTTCATTAAAAATGAATTCTTAAGATACTCCAGAAAAAAGGGAATGACCTAAATTTGTGGCTGTAGTAGAAAACGCTGTTTCCTCAGAGAGTCAGGGGTTGCTTAAAGCGGTGTGTTTTGGGATAGTGCAGTGCGGAGTGCAGTGCTGGCCAATCTCATACAAGCAAGGACCATGAAAGGCTGGCAGTGGGAGGAGCCTCAGGCGTCCTGTGGCTTCAGGTGCACATCCTGCAGGTGACGCCAAAGCCCGCACTTCCTGACCACAGTTCTCCTGAGTCCGGGTCAGAGTCAGGTCCCGTCAGGGAGTGGGCTCTGCCTTGAGTTTGCTCCCTCAGCCTGGTCCCTAGAGGGCCGTGGGACCTTCCTCCGAAGCAGGCGTTGGGCGTGGTGAGAGGGCAGTCAGGTACCAGCTGTGGCGGATGCACGCGCACTGGTCAGGGCCTCGCGGCCTCGGGTAAGTACTGCAGGAGCTCTGTTTTGCTCATTAGAAACTCAAATTTAGGAGACGCTCAATAGCTCACCAAGGACACAGCTAGTTAACGGGGAGTCCGCTTTCAGAAGCAAGTTTCCTCCATTCCAGGGCCCAAGCTCTCAACTGCTGTCCTACCCAAAAGGGGGCAAATAGAGGGAAGAAAACAGGTTTTTCTAGCTTGTCCTGTTTTTTATTGTTTTTAGAGTCTTTATATAATCAAATCAATGTTTCCAAATATTCTTGATTTGACAGTCATTAGTTTTGAAATAAAGATCTTTGAAAGAAGTAATATAAATATAAAATACATATTTTTTCTTCTTGCTAAACATATTTTTAGAGTTGGGTTTTTTTGCCAACTTTTTATTTTTCAAGTAACATAAACAAAAATCTAATGCCTATTATTTAAAGTAATTTCATAAGATAAAAAGATATTTTAACTTCCAAAATGCAAAATAAACAAACAAGATACTCCTGACAGAGACAGCCTCTCCACTGATCACAGAATTTTAGGAGGAACTCACATTGCTGATGGGGTGATTCTCGTCCAGCTGCATAAAGAGACGCCGCTCACGGGCACACAGTGTGTGCGCGACCAGGACGCTGCTCTGCCGCGTGTGAAGATGCGTAGAGGCAGGCAGTCTGTGTTTGGTGTGGAGAACCCGTGTCAGTTACTTACCCAGGTTCTGGTACGTTGCTGCCTCCTCAGCGGGGTATTATCTGAGGCTGCGGACACGGCTGATGAGCACGCAGCACTTGCACTCACACTGCGCGAGAGAAGGAAGAGTGCATTCTCAGGGAACGGGCTTCTTGGAAGTCACATGCTTCCCTGGCACAGTATTGGCTAGAGTTTGTTCATACCGTCATATCCATCCATCAGAGAGAATAAGAATTTTTGGAGTTTCTCGTAGCATTTATTGTACAGTTAGGAACTACAGAGAGGTGTTTTGTTTTAAATAATCATTTATGCTCCTTAACGCCATAATGGCCCTTAAGGCTGCAGGCCTGCTCAGCGTGTTCTCTCATCTTGTAGCTTCGTGTCTGCTGAAGACGGTTGAGAGACCACTCCTGCAGAGCCCCCATAATTTTCTGTGAGTCACATCTCAAGTGCGAGTCTGGACGGCCCTCAGCGAGGCGCGCAGAGGGGTCAGCACCAAGGACAGCTTCCGGGGAACTAAATCTCCTTTGCTTGGAAATTTGGAAAATGTGTTCTCTAGAATTTCTCACATTCATTTATTCATAGTTTTAAATGACGATGCCTCTGTTCAGCATGTCGTGCCCTGCTCTCCTAGTGAACTTGCTCATCCCCTCTGTGCTCCGGCGAGAGGCTGCACTGCCTGGGACAGCGGGGACCCGGGGGGTCCGGCAGAGGCCCCTCCCCCCCTTCCTCCGATGCACTCTGAAGCTCCTTTCAAGTAACTTGTTTCATGAGTCAGTGATTTTTGACCCGCTTTGCATTTCTAAAAATTGGTAGAAAAGGGGTTTCACTGACAATTAGTATTGAGACTTTAATCCTCACGCGTTTTGGTTCTGGAAATGTAATTCATATATTAAAAGTCAAGATTCTTCATGTTGCATAAGGTTGGGTTGCTTTCTTAGAATGTTAGTGTCAGAAAGCTAGACTGTATCCCCAGGAAGCGTCCTTTCTTTTTGAAGAACTGAAGCCTGTAGTAACTTTAAATCAAGCCTGTTGCTAACTTGTCTTGCCTTTAACTTTTTAAATCTTTTGACAAGTACGCCACTTCCTGGAGGTCATTGCCCACCCAGTGTTGGGTAGTCGCGACACGCTCTCATGTAGCAGCTGTAACTCGTGTAACTAGTTGTTTCCGAGGAAGTGTCCGCACAGGGAGCAGCCACTGTCCCTCACGCAGGTCACGGGTGGTCTTGGGGTTAGCAGCCGGCACCGCTGTTCTCATTGACTCGGCAAGCGTGTATCAGAGGGGTGCGGGTTAGGGGCTGGGCCTGACCTGGGTCCTGGGGGGATAGGGATGAATAAGACACAGCCCTTCACTCTGTGTGGGCTGGTGGGGCGAGGGCATCACCCAGACCCAGCAGGACAAAGAGGTCCCAGGGCAACGGGAGGGGGGGACCACTGCCAAGCGCAGGGGGAGGGACGGGGAGCAGTTTCTCTGAGGGGCACCGGGCTGGGTGTTAAAGGGCTTGTCGGGCCGATGAGTATATTGCAGGCTGTGAACATGAGGGGTTTGAGACTGGCAGGTATTCAGAGAGATGCCTGGAAAAATGATAAGGATGGGCTGCGCGGGTCTGGCCAGGAAGGCAGGCAGCAGGGTTTGGCGTGAGGTCTCAGAGTCACATTCTGAGGTTTTCACTACTGAGAGCAGCTGTGTGCCACGCAGTGCTCGGGAGGTGGGTTCGAGAACACGGGTGGAGCTGCAGGCCAGCAGGCCCTGGGCCCTGAGAGCCCAGGCGGAGTAGGGGCAGGGAGCGCAGGGTTGTCAGCACGGGTGGCAGTCTCAGCCAAGGCTCACAAACCCGCCGCCACCCTCACGTCAGAGCCACTTACCCGCCGTTCTTCCAGTCACAGCTCAGCTTGGGCTCTGGCATCAGTCAGACAGGTTTCTGGATAGCCCCCAGGTGTGAGACTTCAGTGTAATAGCCGTTCTAGAGTCTTGGCCCTCATTTTTGTTATTTTATTGTCTTTAAAACAGCAAATGGGAGGAGGGAGAGTTGGCAAATGGACAGCTGATGTTTTTAAGTGAACCCTGTCCAGTGCTCTGTGAACAACTGCAGGTAGGGACGTGGCGGGAGCGGGCCAGGCCAGGAGTGGCCGCAGCAGGCAGCGGCCAGCCCCCATCATCTGTTCCAGAAGGCAGAAAAGTGTGTGTAACAAAGCTTCACTTCCTAGTCCACAAATAGTAAAAAAGGTGGCGTTGCTTGTATCAGGCGAAATGGTGGTTAGAATAAAAATGGCCAGATCTTGGGAAGCTGCTTTTTGAGAAGTAATTCACTGATGATGCTAAATAAAGTAGATATCGTGTGCTTTTTGCTATATTCTGTGTATAAGTAAACATTTATGAACAAAATATGATAAATGTGTGAATTATGAACAAAAGATGATAAATAAGCTTTGATCGTTTGACTTAGAAAAGACATTTCCTTTTGTTCTAACTCTCAAGGGAGAGCTTGAGGATGCCCAGGAGGAGCCCGCTGCTGAGGCAGCCCCTGGAGGTGCTGTGGCTGCAAGTGTGAGTGTTACTGTTCGCCACGAAGACAGAAGTGTCGGGAGCCCCTCCCCGTCGCCCTCCACCAGTGACCCCGTGTCGCAGTGCAGCAGGCATCTTAAAGAAGACGCAGGGGAAAGCACAGCCTTACTTGGTGAGTAGCTTGCAGATTATAAAACAAGCTGATGCCCTAGCTCAGGGGTGGGCAAACTTTTTGACTCGAGGGCCACAATGGGTTCTTAAACTGGACCGGAGGGCCAGAACAAAAGCATGATGGAGTGTTTGTGTGAACTAATATAAATTCAAAGTAAACATCATTACATAAAAGGGTACGGCCTTTTTTTTTTTTTTTAGTTTTATTCATTTCAAACGGGCCGGATTCGGCCCGCGGGCCGTAGTTTGCCCACGGCTGCCCTAGCCGGTTTGGCTCAGTGGATAGAGCGTCGGCCTGCGGACTGAAGGGTCCCAGGTTCGATTCCAGTCAAGGGCATGTACCTGGGTTGTGGGCACATCCCCAGTAGGGGGTGTGCTGGAGGCAGCTGATGGATGTTTCTTACTCTCTATCCCTCTCCCTTCCTCTCTGTAAAAAATAAAATATTAAAACAAGCTGACATTAGGCACTGAAAATGGAAGAAATACATAAAATGCAGAAAAACTAAAGGAAAAATGAAAACCATCATCGCACACCTGGAAATACTATTTTAACATTTTGATAAATATATTTCCAAAGGTTTTTTTTGTGTTTAATGATGGGGAGAATGTCATTTATGTGCTGCTAGGTAACCTGTTTTTTCTCTTAGTGTCTGAATCTGTTTCTGTATCAGTAGATACATAATTTTGTACAGCTGCATAGTCTTACATTTTGGATTTACTCAAGTAATTTCTTCAAGCCGCACCCTGTGTGGCTTTTGTCAGTACGTAACAGCTTCATACCACTTGTCTAATTTGTTTTCTGTCATTCTGATTGATAAAATAGAGTGAATTGCATTTTTAAAAAGATTTTTTTTATTGATTTTTAGAGAGAGAGGAAGGGAGGGGAAGAGAGAGAAACATCAACGTGAGAGCAAGATATTGATTGGCTGCCTCCTGCACAACCAACCTTTCAGTGCATGGGACCACACCGAGCCGGCTGAGTCACCCCGTCCAGGGCAGAATTGCGTTTTTTTGTTGTTTTTTAATATATTTTATTGATTTTTTTACAGAGAGGAAGGGAGAGAGATAGAGAGTTAGAAACATCGATGAGAAAGAAACATCGATCAGCTGCCTCTTGCACATCTCCCACTGGGGATGTGCCCACAACCCAGGTACATGCCCTTGGCCGGAATCGAACCTGGGACCCTTCAGTCCGCAGTCCGACGCTCTATCCACTGAGCCAAACCGGTTTCGGCGGAATTGCGTTTTTTATTATTCATGAGATTACCTTCTTTTCGTATTTGTCAGTCATTTTTTTTTATGAGTTGTCCCTTTCATTCTTAGCTTATTTTTCTATAGAGAAACTAATCTTTCATACTGATTCTAAGCACTTTGGTCTTTGTCATATGTATTATATATCACCCCCTCCCCCAATTTCTGTATACTTTGACTTTCTGAGGTATTTTTCTTAGATACAAAATTTAAAATTATATCTAATATTTGTGGTTTTGTATTTTACATTTAAATCTTTATTCCACATAATTTAAGGGGAGATTGAGCTAACATTTTCCCCCAAATGTTTAACCAATTATCCTAATATTGTTTAGTGAATAACAATTATTTATGAACAACATGTTTTGATATTTGCAAAGCAATGCAAATTCCTTCATCTTTCTTCTTCTTCTTCTTCTTTTTTTTTTTAAAAATTTCTGGCCTTTTCTGCATTTTTTTAAGGTTAATGTTGACTCTGATAACTGTTTCCTTCCTATTGGGGCCCTGCTGGCAGGACTGTGAGCCCTGGCACTGATCTCATGGAGGGTAACGACCTGGTGAAGTTAATCTTCCTTCTGTTACTTGCCTCCTGAATTGGACCTAAGTGACTATTTCTTTTTCTCATTTTTAGTATTATACACTTTCTTTATCTTCAAAGTATAAATATGTACACAAAATGTAAGTAAATACAAGGAATTCGCTAAATGCCACCATTAACAATTACTGTGTAAATAAAACTTGTAAGCAGAGTAAGTGCTTGAAGTAAGTGTCCATTGCTTTGAGGACATCTGCTTTATTGAACCACATTTGGAGAGAAAAAGGCATAAACTTTTCTTGCCGGATTCCTCTTCCAAGGGGTGCACTAGCCCTTCAGCCTCTGGAGACGGGCCACACTGGCAGCTCACACACCGTAAACCCCTGCCTGCCCTTGAACCTCCCATTTGGGCATACGGGGTTACTCACGTAGTCAGGATAGGACAGTTTTTCTTTTGGTTAAAGTATATTTTCAATTTAAAAATAACTTTTCCTATAGTCCTCAAGATAATGTGTAACGTACCAGTATGCGGCGTTTCATTTGTTTGCATGTACAGTTTCTCGCTGTGTCTTTTAGCCCAGGTCTGTATTGTATTAGTTAAGTGCTGCCAGAAGGTAATAGTAACTAGCATAGTTTTCTGAAGTCTTAGAGCATAGTCCTAGTTTTTACTGATTTCATTTGCTTTGATGACCTTCATATCATGTTATTGGTTTGAGTACATTTGACTTTGCAAAGGTTCGGTAGCATTTGCAAAAGGGCATCCTGAGACTTCAGGGTAACGGGTTTCATGGTAGCTTAGGAGCTCACGCTATAGAAGTCACCGTAGAGGCCATACTGTTGGAGGGAATAATCCTAAAGTATATGATAATGGAATAATTTATCTTCATAAAGCCACATGGTTTATTTTGAGTCATTTCCTTTTTTTATTTTTTATTTTAATTTTATTTTATTTCAATCTTTAATTTCTTTATTGATTAAGGTATTATTGATTTCAGAGAGGAAGGAGGAGGGAGAGATAGAAACATCAATGATGAGAATCATTGACTAGTTGCCTCCTGCACGCCCCCTACTGGAGGTTGAGCCTGCAAGCAGGGCATGTGCCTTTGACCAGGAATTGAGCCTTGACCTCCTGGTTCATAGGTCGATGCTCAACCACTGAGCCACACCGGCCAGGCTCTTTGTTTGGAGAAGATAAAATTATTTTGTATTTCCGTGAGCATAAGTCAAACAGCAGAGATTGGTATAAAAGAGGCAAAAAATATGTAAGTTAGTGTTGGAAAATCAGATTTTAATTCCATTAACTAGCTGACACAGTTCTCAGAAAACAAAGTCTGACCTCTGAGTGAAAAGCTGATTTTTGTATTGAATTCATATTATTTTGATGCCAAAGCAGTGTCTAAAATATGAATTCACAAACGTAGTAAAATTCATTAATTAGAACTTCATTGCTTCACAGCATTTAAAAACAAAAGTTAAATAGAAGTTTTTAAAAGTTGTAGGGAAACTACTTCAGAGAGAGACAGAAGCCTAGCCCTTTAAAAATATTGTTTGCTTACTAACAGTGTAACTGCAGTAGAAGTGAGCTTCTTGGTGCTTTGAATGAATCAGGAGCATTTGTGTGGTTCTGTGCCAAGCAGTGCCTCTTACTCTTTTGATAGGCTAATGTTACAGCATCCTACCCTTCACATTGATCTTCCTTGGTTCCACTTAATGAAGTTTTACTATGTGCATTTCATTCTGTGGGTTGGGTTTATCTATATACTAGAGGCCTGATGCATGAAATTCCTGCATGGAGGGGGGTTCCCTCAGCCCAGCCTGCACCCTCTCCAATCGGGGACCCCATGGGGGATGTCCGACTGCCGGTGAGGCCTGTGGGATCGGGCCTAAACCAGCAGTCGGACATCCCTCTCACAATCTGGGACTGCTGGCTCGGGACCACTGGCTCCTAACCGCTCACCTGCCTGCCTGCCTGATCGCCCCTAACTGCCTCTGCCTGGCTGCCTGATCACTCCTAACTGCCCTCCCCTGCCGGCCTGATCTCGCCCCCAACTGCCCTCCCCTGCCAGCCAATTTGGTTCTGATTGGTCGGTTTCTATGCCAGTCAGCATCTCTGGGCCTATCTCTGGGCCTGATGGAAGAAGCGAGGCCGATCAGCAGCCCCTGCGCAGGCCTGAAGAGAAAGAGAAAGAGAGGCGCGGCTGCTGGTGAAGCCCGGAGAGAAAGAAAGAGGCAACAGTTGATCAACAGCTGCCACGGAGGCTGTGGATCAGACCCTGCCTCTCTCTCCCGGCCTGATCTGCAGACCCTTCAGCAGTCAATGCTGGGTTGCTGCGCCCGTGGAGACCCAGCACTGACTACAGTACTGACTTCGAGTGTTCTGTCAAGCCTTCAGTCAGTCGTTACGGACCCTGGGTTTTTATATATCCTATCTAATACAAGAGAAACATGGTAATTAGCGTACGACCGCTACCCTTCCCATTGGCTAATCAGGGTGATATGCAAATTAACTGCCAGCCAAGATGGCAGCCGGCAGCCAGGCAGCTGGAAGCTAACATGAGGCTTGCTTGCTTCAGTGACGGAGGAAACCAACGTTCCCCGCCTGCCGCTGCCGGCCTCTGAGCTTGTAGTTTGAAACATTGCAACAAATATAGAAGCTAAATAAAACCCCAGAAACCTGCTTTCAGTTAGACGGGATCTCAGAGCTAGAGTTGATACAGTGTCTCGATTATAGAACCCAAACAAACCAGATACCTGCTTTCAGCAGCAGAGGCCTCAGAGCTGGAGCCAGAGTTGAAGCTGGCCCAGAAGATAAAAAAAAAAAAGAAAAAAAGGAGCAGTTGGGAGCTTCCGTCACCCGCCAGCCTGAAAACAGCCCTCAGCCCCTCACCCAGACTGGCCAGGCACCCCAGTGGGGACCCCCACCCTGATCGAGGACACCCTTCAGGGCAAACCAGCTGGCCCCCACCCATGCACAAGGCCTCTACCCTATATAGTAAAAGGGTAATATGCCTCCCAGCGCCAAGATCAGCGGAGCCGCGAGGCCTCCCGGCACCGGGAACAGTGTGACAGGGGGCAGTGCCCAAACCCCCTGATTGCCCTGCGGCTCTGTGTGTAACAGGGTGCGGGGCCACAACCTCCCTATCCGCCCTGCTCTGTTTGTGACAGGGGAAGGCGCCCCAACCCCCTGATCAGCCCTGCTCTGTGCCTGATAGGGGGAGCTCCCCAACCCCCTGATCGCCCTACGGCTCTGTGTGTGACAGGGTGCGGCACCCCAACCCCCTGATCGGCCCTGCTCTGTGTGTGACAGGGTGCGGTGCCCCAACCCCCTGATCCACCCTGCTCTGTGCGTGACAGGAGGGAGCTCCCCAACCCCCTGATCGACCCTGCTCTGTGCGTGACAGGGTACGGAGCCCCAACCCCCCTGATGGGCCCTGCTCTGTGCATGACAGGGGGCAGCGCCCCAACCCCCTGATTGGCCCTGCTCTGTGCGTGACAGGGGGTGGCACCACAACCTCCCCATCAACCCTGCCTTGAGTGTGACAGGGGGCGGTGCCCCAACCCCCCAATCGGCCCTACCCTGAGCGTGACTGAGGGTGGCATCGCAACCTCCCAATCCGCCCTGCTCTGTGCATGACGGGGCGGCGCCCCAACTCCCCAATCAGCCCTGCTCTGAGCCTGACCAGGGGCTGCACTTAGGGATTGGGCCTGCCCTCTGCCACCCGGGAGCAGGCCTAAGCCAGCAGGTCGTTATCTCCGGAGGGGTCCCAGACTGCGAGAGGGCACAGGCCGGGCTGAGGGACCCCCCCTTTCTCCTCCCTCGAGTGCACAAATTTTTGTGCACCGGGCCTCTAGTTAGGATATAAAAGGCTAAGCGACCATCTGACCAGCCAGTAGGTATGACGTGCACTGACCACCAGGGGGGCAGATGCCCAGCACAGGAGCTGCTGAGCTGTGGTGACTTGGCATTGGCGGTTCTCGGGTGACACACCCCGGAACCAGAGAGGAGGGAGCCCGATTCCTTGCAGGGCTGTGAGATTCCACCTTCAGCCGTGGGTTATGTTGTTGCTGGGGCACTGTCGGCCCCAAATCTGGTTTACTGCCAAGCTGTGGTGACCGCAGACGCTCTTTGAGTAGTGGCGCTGCCCCAGGTGCAGCCAGCCAGGGAGGCACCGCGGGAGGTTGGCTCCAGGGCGTGTCAGGCCCGTCTCTCCCAGTCCTGCCCTGCTGGCCACCTTCTAATTAATTTCCTTTCAATGTGCACGAATCCGTGCACCAGGCTACTAGTCTTCTAATAAACATCTAAGAGACATCAGGAAGAAAATTGGACTTTTTAAAAAAGTTGCGTTGTAAAAGTATTTCATTTGTTGGAAAAGTAAACAGTACTTTCATGATTTTATTTAAAGTGAAAAATGACTTTTTGTACTATTGCAATTTATTTGGAAAATCACTTTGCAATAAAAATGTAAATGGTAGATATATATTCATATATAAAACTTACAACATAGGTGTAAATTTGTTCTCATTTTCATCTTCAGGCATAATATTATACACAATGGTATATTATAAAAGCAGAAAGTAAAACTTTAGCCCTAGCCAACTTGGCTCATTGGATAGAGCGTCCGCCTGCGGAGTGAAGGGTCCAGGGATTTGATTCCGGTCAAGGGCAGGTTCCTGGGTTGCAGACTCCTCCATGGCCCAGGCCCTGGTCAGGCTCATGCAGGAGGCAACCAATCAATGTGTTTCTCTCACATCGGTGTTTCATTCTGTCTTTCCCTCTCTCTTCCACTCTCTCTCAAAATCAATGGAAAAATATCCTCAGGTGAAGATTTAAAAAGAAAAGAAAGTAAAACTTTAAACTTTCCTAGTATAGGCAGTATTGATAATCAATATTGCAAGTAGATGATGTATTTTGCTTATCAGATCCCAAGCCTTTTAATTTTAGCATCTATATTCTTTTTTTTATTCAGGTGATTTTGAGAATACACTTATTACAGCTGGGACAGTGTAACAAGGAAAGAAGCAACAGGAAAGAGCCTGGGCGGGGCTGCTGTCAGCTCATTGAGAAAAGGGGGCCTTGGGGACGGTTTAGGGGGGAATCTGGAATGAGCTGTCATTGCTCAGCACTTCACTGGTTGCAGGTCTCGTGGGGTCCCTTAGAGTTTAGGAGCTGCACGCCTGTTGGGGAAGAAGAGGGAGAAGGGAAAGACAGGGCTGCTCTGTGGAGGGAGAGAGCCAGCATCCATATTCTTTTATTTTTTTTAAATATATTTCTTTATTGATTTCAGACAGGAAGGGAGAAGGAGAGATAGAAACATCAATGATGAGAGAGAATCATTGATCGGCTGCCTCCTGCACGCCCCCCACTGGGGATCAAGCCTGCAACCCAGGTATGTGCCCTTGACCGGAATCGAACCTGGGACCCTTCAATCCTCAGGCTGATGCTGTATCCACTGAGCCAAGCCAGCCAGGGCAGCATCCGTATTCTTAAGGAACTTTGAAAGTAAAGTATTTACTTGATTAAAACCTTTGTAGAATGTAAAAGGCTTCGAATACCTACCTGTGTTTAGACTTTACTTTGAGAATATAAACTGGAAAGTGTTTAAATGATAGTGTTTGTTCTAGTCTTAAATGAATACCAAGTGATTCCTAAATAAATTGTACTGTAATGAAAAAAATTTTCCTGGCCTGTTTTACATTTTTTTAAAATAAATTTTTATTGATTTCAGAGAGGAAGGGAGAGGGAGAGAGAGAGAAACATCAGAGATGAAAGAGATGCACGCCCCACAATGGGGATCAAGCTCACAATCCAGGCATGTGCCCTGAGTGGAATTGAACCCAGGACCCTTCAGTCCGCAGCCGACGCACTATCCACTGAGCAAAATCAGCTAGGGCTGCTCTACATTTTTAGATTAATCTTAAAATCATTTTGCCAAGTAAAAGTCCCATCAGAATTTTTACTGTCATTGAATTATTCTATAAATCGTTGATGCTTCTGGTTTTATTTGCCATCCTAGAAGGGGAAGTATAGTGAATCAGTTTCTCCATTTGTGCACATGTTTGGGCTCTGGGAGGCAAGAATAGAAATATTAGAGCGTAAGTGTTCAGTGGGTGCCAGAGAGGGCAGGCTGCTTTGTGGCAGAAAGGAAGACTGTTGTTGAGAGGAGGCGCAAGTGGGAGGCTGATCTGTGGGGCCATTCTAACCAGCTCTCGCCTCCTGCTGGGACGACGCCACCTTTCCAGGCAGCGCTTCCCTTGCCCAAGCCCCTGCCTCAGGAATGCCGGTGTCTGCGCCCACTGCTGCGTGTCGCTGCTGTTGCTGCCAGCAGTCTGCGGGAGGAAAGGAGTTGCTTCTCCAATCCTGGGCCACCCGTGAGATGCTGAAAGACAGAGGACAGTTTTACCTGACCACAGCCTTCCAAGGCCGTCTCCAGGGTTCTCTTCTCTCTCGTTACTTGTAGTGCATTAGTTTGTCAGCATCTTTCCCAAATGCCCTCTTAAATGAAGGTAGTTTCAAATAATGGATAGAAATAAAGGTGTGGAAAGAAGCCTGATTACAGAATAACAAGGGTAGACCGCTCCCTGGAGAAGTAGTTTCCTGGTTGGTTAGTGCTCCTTCGTCCTGGTGGCCTTGCACTTAGCTCTGTTGTAGTGAGTTCCAAGTATCTGGTTCTCCTGTATGTAGGGAGGTGTTCTGTCTGTAAGAACCTTCTGTGCTCCTGTCCTCGTAACGTCAGCCTGTCAGGGTGTGAATAGCTGATTCTCTCCCAAGGTGTCACTCTCCGTTCTGCTTCCTCATCTGTGAAATGGGGTGAGGACCTGTGCTGTGTCCACCTCACGGGGTCAGCGTTGCCCAGGAGGTGCTCGCTGGTTTCCTAGGCGCATCATCGTCTTCGTCACCAGAGCCACGTGCTTTACTTTTGAGAACACTCTCACCAGCTCAGGCTGCAGCGCTCTGTAGTCCCACGCTGACCGAGTCGTGCCGCCCAGGCTGGCCCTGGGAGACCTCACTGTGCGGAGGTGTTGATAGACTTCCTGACGGTCTGGAATGGGTGCCATTTTTGCACATTTCATTTTAAATTTTCTGTAATTTGTTGTTTGAATGAGTAACAGTGTTCTCTGGTGAAGTTCAGAACGTGCCCTTGGACTGACGCTGGCCTTTGTTCGTTGCAGAGGCAGAGACGGGCAGGAGCGACCCCCAGGGCGGAGGACCTGTCTCCTCGCACGGCCCCTGACAGCGGCCCGGGCGCGGCTCTGGACTAAAGGACATTTTATTTTTTTTACTTTAGCACATAGTTTATATATTTGAAAATAATGTACCTTTTGATGAATTATTTTACCTTTCATGGTCTGATTTGATATACAAAGGGCTAAATATTTTATTCTTAAAGAGACTTGTTGATTACTGTTCATATATTTATCTACTGAAGTATATCCCTTACAACAAACAACATGTTGTTTCAGGTTGTTTCTGAGGAGATGGCTAGGAAGGCGCGCTGGTGCCAGTGTTTGTAAACCCGAGGCGAGCGGCTGAGTCCGTCCGCAGCGTGGTTAGACTCCGCACGTGAGCGCAGACTAGTCCAAGTGGAATTGTGTCATTAAATCCCATAAATGCTTTCCCTGGAAGAAAGGCATTTTTAGAACATTATACTTGTAAATGAAATGAGAGGAATCTACACCTTGGTATTATATAGTGAGATTTCAAAACCTGAGAATCCTTTTCATTGTTGTATCACTCAATTTCTTGTGACACTTTGATGGGAAGTTTGCTCATTTTTTTCAACAATTAAAAATGCTCAGAATCTGTGTTTCTGTGACTATTGGGCCCCCATTGCCTGTGGGAAATCGAGTAGACAGCGACTGGTTTTCTTTGTAAGTGATGAATACAATCTATTGGTTCCAACAACAATCTGATATTTAAAATTGTAAGGATGAAAGGTGGAGAATTTTTTATTGTTGTAACAAAATAAGCAACCAGTTTCCTGATTAATTTTAAAGCAAACTAATGACCATGACCTTGTTCAATCAGCTGCCCTTTTTACTTTTGTTTGCTGTTCTTATTTGTAGGTGAAAGCAGCAGCAAATAAAAAGCATTTGGAGACTAAGTTTCATAAAGTGATTAAATAAACACACGCACCTGCTCTCCTGTCACTTGCTGGAGGTGGAAGCTGACGATAAGGGAGAGTTATTTTGTGTGGGTAAAAAAATGTTTAGTAAGAAAATATATTTTACAAAATTTAAGAGACTTTTTTCTTATATCTAAGTTTTATAGATAACTTACTTTCTTCAAACTATTTACCACTCATAGTGAATTGAAAAGTACTTGGTGAGTGAACAGTTTTACTAAAGGAAACTGGCCAGATTCAGCTTGAGAAGCTACTAAAATAGAAAATTTGTCTCATTTGAGCTCTTATTTAAACAGACAGCCTCAATGTCAGTTTCTGAAATGGTCATTATCTTTAAAATCGGCCTCTCTGGCTCATTATGATGGGGAGAATATGTCCTTGACTCTATACCAAGTAGACGGTTTGCTCTGCATTTGAAGAAGCTCTCTAAGCCCTGGGAGGGGTGGCTCTGTTGGTTGAGCACCGACCCCTGCACCAAAGGGCTGCTGCAGGCTCGATCCTGATGCGTGGTGAGGGCCGTGCAGTAGGAGGCTGATGGCTGTTTCACTCTCCCATCAGTGTTTCTCTCCCTCTCCCTTTCTAACAATCATTTTTAAAATCTTTTAAAAAGAAAGAAAGAAACATACGAGGGAGAAACGATTGAACAGTTTTTCCCAGTAGCCAATGAGGCTGACTTTTAAAAGAATACTATGATGTCATAATCAGGTGTCAGATACAAACTTTCCTTAATTCAAGTTTGAACACCAAATTATAAATAGAAGAAATTGTAAGAACTAGTCTCATCTCTTTAAGAGCGAATGTTTAATGGCAGAAAAAGAGAAGATAAACTCTTCAGTACTTCAAAAGGAAAAAGTGTCCTTTGGTAAGAATTTTAATAAGAAAAGAGTCAGAAACTACCAGAATTTTGGCGGAAACATCAAGTTGATAGACTAGCCCTGGCCAGGTAGCCCTGTTGGTTGGAGCGTAGACCAGCACACCAAAAGGTTGCAATTCAATTCCCAGGTTTAGGGGGGCTTCCTTGTTTCTCTCCCTAAAAATCAATAAAAACGTGTCCTTGGGTATGGATTAAAAGGATGCTGGAAATATGGGGGATGTGATTGAAGAAAGGGTATGCTAAATCAGGGAGTTGGGGTTATGATGTCAGTATGATCATTTTCCTAAGTTGTCATAAAAGTCATTTGTTCGCAAATAATGTGTAAGGTTTTAACTTTGAAATTTTGCAGACAGCCTGGGAAGGAGGACTGGCCGCAGCCCTGCCACCGCCTCGCGCCCCTGAGCTGCGCAGCGTGCAAGCGGCACATCAGGTACTCCCCCTCGCGCTGTGCTCTTGTGCAGAGCCTGTCACTGAGGAGTGATGACAGGAAAGGCCGAATCGCAGTGCTCGCCGGCAGTTTGCTCTCTGCGGCTGCACGATGACAAAGCCTCCTGAAGCGAACATGGTCTGACCTCAGTGACAGCACGCAAGCCTCGGGCTGGGGCGCGCTTTCTGAGAAGGGCTGCCGGGGCTCAGATGGTTTTAAGATAAAAGAATGACTCCTGGACAGCAATAGCCCTCAGCGAGGACTAGGTGCATCTCTGTGTGCTTTCCCTATACTTGCTGAAACGTGACCGTAACAGACGTTCGAGAACAGGTGTGTCCCCATCTGGAGGAAGGACCTGGGGTGACTGGTCCCCCATTCACAGAGCTTCGTTGAGCAAGTTTCTTGTGAGCAGGTTCAGGTGCATTTGCGCAGTGGAGGCTGAGGTGGTCAGTAGGCCCTGTCCCTCACTAGAACGTGTGGCTGGCTGTGCTGGTGAGAGCAGTTTCTTCACAGTGTAAGCCCTGCTCTGGTTTACAAAGCACAGGATGCCGGCCTGAAGCAAAGCTGGCCTCACAGCGTAAGACGTGGTGCTTCTGGGACGTAACCAGTTAGGAAACCCCGCACCGCGCGGAGCCTGGAGCTGATGGCAATGAAGTCTTGGCCCCTCACCTGGGCGCCTGCAAAAAAATAAAAAATAAAAAAAATAAACCCCCCACACCTTTCCTGCTTAGTTTAGTTTTTGAAGTTTTAAAAACAAGGATTTTGTTTTCAAAAGTACTGATGTGTATTGTAAAAGTGAACTTTCTACAGTGTCAACATACAGCTAGAAATGTACTTATTCTAACGAATATGAAGTTGTGAATTGAGAAAGGTATTTGCATTAATTTAAAATTCATGTAAGACTAGAGAACCAGCCCATTCATCTTGCTGAGCTGCAGCTTGTGTGTGTGGCCAGTGAGGACCGGGCACCACTGCTCGTGCCGAGTGCAGTGCCTGCGTCCAGGCTGTGGAACTGCTTTCGGAAGCATCTTGTTTGTTCCCGAGAACAGCAGTGACTGCAGACAGACCAGACAGAAAATCAATCAGCGAAGTGTCTTGGGTCAAGGGTGCAAGAACTTGAGCGGATATGTAAAAAGTTCTTCAGTGCATTGGTTTCCAGACCCTTAAAATGTGATCTTAAAGGGATGTCACTCAAAATATTATTTAAAATACAGGGTGGGTCAAAAGTGGATGTACAGTTGTTCACATGGAAAGTAAAACAGTAACAAATAATATGAGAATAAGCTGTTTTTCATACTCAACTGTGAACCCACTTTTGCCCCTCCCTCTCCACCGGAAGGCGGGTCATCCCAGAATGTATAGGACAGCGCATGCTCCTGAGAATTACAGGAGGGTGTGTGCTCTCTAAGGTCGGGGAGTGATACCATTTCTTACTGCTTCAGTGAATAATTAGAGAAGTGTATTTCGAATAGTTATAATTTAGGGTTCCAAATATTCTTTTTGAAGTAACTTCTTTTGCCCTGTTGTCTTCTTTTTAACAGGTGCCTTGAAGACATTAAAGCAATGGAACTAGGAAATCCAGAGAATTCAAGATGTTGGGTTTTGTTTTTTTAAAAAAATAAGTTAAATTGAATTTGTCTGCGAGCACTTAAAAGTTGATTGTACCAAAAGAAAAAAAATGGGACATCAGAGGGCCTGCGGCCGCACTCCTCCAGCAGGCAGTGGTGGAAACTGCCATTTAAAAAGTATTTGAATCATGAACTTTTATTCCCCCAATGCTAATATGCAAAACCATGATGCCCACATTTAGGGAGAGGAATCGGATGTCTGAAGGTGCTCCTGTCACATCAGCTTGGATCCTTAGTTTAAGCAAATCCTATCTAATAAAAGAGAAACATGGTAATTAGCTGTACCTCCGCTACCCTTCCCATTGGCTAATCGGGGCGATATGGCCCCCGATACGGCCCCCACCCGTGCACCAGGCCTCTATCCTATATAATAAAAGGGTAATATGCCTCCCAGCACCGGGATCAGCGTGACGGGGCAGCGCCCAAAACCCCTGATCTCCCTTCGGCTCTGTGTGTGACAGGGTGCGGCGTCCCAACCCCCCCGCCCCCATTGGCCCTGCCCTGAGTGTGACAGTGGCGGCGCCCCAACCCCCTGATCGGCCCTGCTCTGTGCGTGACGGGGGAGCTCCCCAAACCCCTGATGGGCCCTGCTCTGTGCGTTACGGGAATGCGCCACAACCTCCCCATCGACCCTGCCTTGAGTGTGACAGGGGCGCCAACCCCCCAATCAGCCCTACCCTGAGCGTGACTGAGGGTGGCATCGCAACCTCCCCATCCACCGTGCTCTGGGCCCTGCTCTGTGCGTGACGGGGCGGTGCCCCAACCCCCCAATCGGCCCTACCCTGAGCATGACTGAGGGTGGCATCGCAACCTCCCGATCGCCCTGCTCTGTGCATGACGGGGTGGCGCCCCAACTCCCCAATCGGCCCTGCTCTGAGCCCGACCAGGGGCTGCACCTAGGGATTGGGCCTGCCCTCTGCCACCCGGGAGCAGGCCTAAGCCAGCAGGTCGTTATCTCCCAAGGGGTCCCAGACTGCAAGAGGGCACAGGCCGGGCTGAGGGACCCCTCCCTCCCCCCGAGTGAATTTTTGTGCATCGGGCCTCTAGTATATTTATAAGCCCCTTACCTTCATAAGGCTATACCTGAGATCAAATGTTTTTTTAAAATATATTTTATTGATTTTTTACAGAGAGGAAGGGAGAGAGAGAGATAGTTAGAAACATCGATGGGAGAGAAACATCGATCAGCTGCCTCCTGCACATCTCCCACTGGGGATGTGCCTGCAACCCAGGTACATGCCCTTGACCGGAATCGAACCTGGGACCCTTCAGTCCGCAGGCCGACGCTCTATCCACTGAGCCAAACCGGTTTCGGCCTGAGATCAAATTTATTATAAACCTAGGAGTATTACTTTTCAAACGTTATAAGATTGAAACTTGTACTTCACATCACTAGGCTTGGTTTTCTTGAACTTTTTGTTGAAGATTGGACTGGAACTGTGGTTGGCAAACTGCGGCTCGCAAGCCACATGCAGCTCTTTGGCCCCTTGAGTGTGGCTCTTCCTAAGCCTTAGGAGCACCCTAATTAAGTTAATAACAATGTACCTACCTATATAGTTTAAGTTTAAAGAATTTGGCTCTCAAAAGAAATTTCAATCATTGTACTGTTGATATTTGGCTCTGTTGACTAATGAGTTTGCTGACCACTGGGCTGGAAGATAATCTATACTAATAAAAGGGTAATATGCTAATTAGACCAGGAGACCTTCCGGACAAAGCCATGGTGGCAGGGCCGGGGCAGAGGCGGTTAGGGGCGATCAGGCCAGGAGGGGAGGGCAGTTGGGGTCAATCATGCCAGCAGGGGGGAGAGTTGGGCATGAGCAGGCTGGCGGAGGGGGGGGGGGAACAGTTGGGGGCGAGAAGGCTGGCCGGCAGAGTGGTTAGGGGTGATCAGGCAGGTGAGCGGTTAGGAGCCAGCGGCCCTGGATTGTGAGAGGGATGTCCGACTACTGGGATCGGGCCTAAACTGGCAGGCAGACATCCCCCAAGGGGTCCCAGATTGGAGAGGGTGCAGGCTGGGCTGAGGGACACCCTCCCCCCCCCGCCCCCATGCACGAATTTCATGTGCTGGCCTCTAGTCTATATAATAAAACCCTAATACGCAAATTGACTGAATGGCAGAACCGGTCACTATGACGTGCACTGACCACCGGGGGGCAGACGCGCAACACCTCCAAGAGGGAGGCAACCGGCTAGAAGGTGGCACCAGGCTGCCAAGCCAAGGTGGGTGCCAGCAGGGGGTCGCCCCACCCGCCGGTCACCCTGCAGATGGCCATGATCGCAGGTCAGGCTCAGGGACCCTACCCTATATATTGGGAACAGTCTCTTAAATTTAAAAATTAAAATCTGGCAAGGCTACTTACTCTAACACTGAAAAGACAGGATGATGCAGCGATGACATGCATGGACTCTGGCTTGCACATTTTCTGATCAGCCCTGATTCTGACAAACAACTGTGTGACAAAGCCAATGACTTGTCTCTGCTTCAGTTTTCCCACCCGTAAGATGGGGGAAATGGTACTACTGCCTCAGAAGGATCATGTTATAATCAGGGAAAAAATGTAGCTGCCAATACAACAGCAAGATGCCTTTCACCTGCATGAAAAGTATGGTCACTGGTGCGTGCGGCGTCCCGGGCTGCGAGAGGGATGTCCAGGTGCCGGTGTCGCCCGACATCCCCCGAGGGCTCCAGGACTGCGAGCTGGTGCAGGCTGGGCGGAGGGGACTGCACACGGATTCCGTGCATCGGCCTCTGATTTCCCTATAAAATACAGTGGAACCTCGCAGCTCAAACTTACTTTGTTCAGAGGCTGTTGGAGAAGCGACTTGTTCAAAAACCAAACCATTTTCCACATCAAAAATAATGTGAATTGAATTAATCCATTCCAGGCCCCTAAATCCCATTTTAACCTTTCTCATACACAGTGCATACTGTTTAACCTATAAACAAACACGTCTTTTCTTACATTTATCAAACCACCCCCTTCAGCACTGGTCCAGCGGTGTCTTTCATGTCACTGCCCGGAATTGCTGCCGCGGGCGAACTGCTTTTCCTTCACCCAAATCAGCCAGTTTTCCTACCTCTTCACCTGCCTGTGGTCATGGCTTCTTTCACACCCTTAGCCTCAGTAGCACTCTTGATGCCTCTTAACGTCTTAAAACTGTGCTGCTCATCCATTTCACGAAAATATTCACAGCTCAGCAGTCAAAAACTAAAGTTTGGTTCCACAACTGAGACATCTTTTCCATTGAGAACTGAATTGTTCAAGATGAGAGACGTTTAAGAAACAAGGTTTGACTGTACATGCTTTGAAAATACCTCATTATATGAATAATTTTTCACAATTTCTTCAAGAAAAAAATACATTCTGATCATAGTTTATAAAAAACAACTTTAATATAAGGCACTGTTGTCCTGAGCCCACACGATGCCCTCCTGCTTCTCAGTCGGCACCTGCACCCCCAGCAGAGCAAGCAGTTTATTTTACATGGAGATTCCTCCCCAAAGTACAGACGATGTTTCTCCTCAAAAATTACTATCCTAGCTAGACTCATAACTGAACTAAAGAACATCTCGAGAGAAAAAAACAAAACTATACCAGCTGTTATAACCCTGATCAAGGTTTCTAAGACTTCCTGTGTTTATAAGAGGCCCAGGAAATGAATTTATTCTTGTTATATCTGTTAAGTCCTCAAACAAGAAAGGATAAAGCTACAAGTATGTCCTTGGTTCAAACTCTGCTTAATAAGAAGAGTTACCTGCGTAATGGGTTCAAGGATCAACCTGTTTGCCACTTGACCCAAAAACATTCAACTGATTTCACCTCAAGGTCAGTATAGCGAAGTCTTAGTCGTCATTTTCTCTCATTAAATATGTTTAACATCGGAACTTTAGGAAAGCTGGATTCTTAATCAGAAGCCTGCAATCTATTTTAACAAAAACACCTTGCTTTTTAGTGCTAAGAAACTCACCTACTTTTTTGCAATAATCTTTCTTTGGATAACCATTCCTTCTGTAAGACACCTAAAGACATTTTTCAAGTTCTTACCAAAAATTCTTCTGAAGGAAAAAGTCACCCAGGAAAGTTAAACTGCTTTAAGTAGCTGAAGTGTTGTTTATAGTATTACAACAAAAAATCCACTCAGGGTTATAACAGTTAAAACTGAGATCACAGCACAGCTCAACAGGTGGTGCTGATGAGGTACTACTTTGACATTTTGGTCTCGGAAGGCGTGTCCCCAGTGTCCAATGTCTTCAACAACCGGAAAAGGCCGGCAGCTTCTCGGATCCTACTGAACTCAATGCAGAACGCCTGCACTTCTATGAACAAGTCCTGCACGTTGATGATTTTGTTACGGATCAAGGATTGAAGAAAGACACACACCAGACGCACCAAACGATTCTGAAAAAGAAAAAAATTCAGTGTGCCCATTTTCTTGGCAGGTTATTTATAAAATTTACTAAAATTTCTATTGGTTACCTGCATATACTTATCCTTAATCTGTTCACAAGTAGAGATGCAATTTGATATGTAAAGGTGGATGAACTCAGGAGGTAGGTCAACAGCTGTAGTCAGTCTGTTTCAGAGTAGAAAAGTAGGGTTATTTTATATGCTCACATCAAAGAATATTGTTAACCATAAGATACCACATTTCCTTTGGTCTTTTCATGTGAATTTCTGATGACCAATTTACCTAGTTTTAAATATACTTATGCAAATAAACCTAAGAGCCATGCCCATCTGTTAATAAATGACAGTTGAATTTTCTGTCACTTTGCATTATGCATTGTAATCACTCATTAAGCAATCAATTCTGTGAGCACCATGTCTCTGTTTTGGCTGAATCATAATTCAGTTATTTTTTCCAAGCTCTAATAACCTTGACAGTGATTCCATTCATTTACTAAATTCTGATTACATGTAAGTGCTATGCAAAGCAGTGTGTGTGAGGGAGGTGTTAAGTTTAGTAGCTAAACTGTACAATCTAACAAGTGCTAGAAAGAGTAATAATGTAAGTGAAAAGAGCTGGGAAAAGTCTTAAAAGGACGAATGACTTAAATTGACACTTCAGTAGAGGTGTCAATGGTCTGAGTAAAGCTTGGAGCCAGGGGTTCACAGGGTACTCAAGACCTTCCCCTTCAGACCTCGTGGGGGAGCCAAGGGGGCACCTGGCTGAAGGTTAACGAAAGGCAGGGTATGGGGAGATCAGTTTAGAGCAGGGGTGGGCAAACTTTTTGACTCGAGGGCCACAATGGGTTCTTAAACTGGACCGGAGGGCCGGAACAAAAGCATGGATGGAGTGTTTCTGTGAACTAATATAAATTCAAAGTAAACATCATTACATAAAAGGGTACGGTCTTTTTTTTTTTTTTTTTTAGTTTTATTCATTTCAAACAGGCCGGATCCGGCCCGAGGGCTGCAGTTTGCCCACGGCTGGTTTAGAGTCTCAAAAGGGGAAGCTAGTATTTTTTAAAGGACTCTAGGGAATTTTTATGGAAAAATAAGAAAAGGTATGCATGCTAACTATACAGTATGCATTTCTGGAAGAAACAAAACATCCCTAAGTCTAGAACTTTATCCATTGGGCGCTGAGGAACTAGGGTTTTGAGGAAACATCACCAGAGGCTGCTGCGGCCACAGCTGCTTCACACTCAAGGGTGACTCACGATCGGGGGGGGGGGGGGGGGGGGGGGGGGGGGGGGGGGAGCAGATCTTGTTCTTGAGATTACTGAGTGATTCTTGGGCTAAGTGCAAACGTCTGACAGTAACTTCCGCAAGAACGTGGTGAGGGGAAGAATGAGCCCTCGACTCGGTCCACCCCTGGACTTGACAGAACACAGCCCTAAGAAGAGCGGTCTAAGGGCACGGGACAGGCCTCAGGGAGAAGGCAGGTGAAGCAGTGTGTTGTAAATACGCAGTTCACCAGTTGCACCAGTAAGAAAGTACAGCTAAAACCTCATGCTGCCTTTCCCGCCCCACAAAGAAACAATCTCCTACTTGGGGTCACCTGGCTTCAGCTAGACTTTTTTCACTAGTTTATTAACTTAAAAGAACATGTTCTTTTTTTTTTTCTTCTTTAACTATGGAACGCTTTGCGAATTTGCATGTCATCCTTGCACAGGGGCCATGCTAATCTGTATCGTCCCAATTATAGTATATGAGAGGCCTGGTACATGAAATTTGTGCACTTGGGGGGGCGGGGGAGGGTCCCTCAGTCCGGCCTATGCCCTCTCACACTCCAGGAGCCCTACGGGTATGTCCAACTGCCATGGAGGCAGGAGAGGCTCCCAGCACTGCCACTGCGCTCACCAGCTGTGTACCCGGCTCAGGGCTTCTGGCTGAGCGGCGCTCCCCCTGTGGGAGCACACTGACCACCAGGGGGCAGCTCCTGCATTGAGCGTCTGCCCCCTGGTGGTCAGTGCACGTCATAGCAACCAGTCGTTCTGTCAATTTGCATTTTAGCCTTTTATTATATAGGACTAGACGCCCGGTACACAAAAATTTGTGCACTCGGGGGGGGGGGGGGGACCCCTCAGACCGGCCTGTGCCCTCTCGCAGTCTGGGACCCCTCAGGAGATAATGACCCTCTGGCTTAGGCCTGCTCCCGGGTGGCAGAGGGCAGGCCCAATCCCTAGGTGCAGCCCCTGGTCGGGCTCAGAGCAGGGCTGATTGGGGAGTTGGGGTGCCGCCCCGTCATGCACAGAACAGGCCGGATCAGGAGGTTGCGATGCCACACTCAGTCACGCTCGGGGTAGGGCCGATTGGGGGGTTGGGGCACCGCCCCGTCACACTCAAGGCAGGGTCGATGGGGAGGTTGCTGCGCCACCCCGTCACGCACAGAGCAGGGCCAATCAGGGGGTTGGGGCGCTGCCCCGTCACTCACAGAGCAGGGCCCATCAGGGGGGTTGGGGCTCCGTACCCTGTCACGCACAGAGCAGGGTCGATCAGGGGGTTGGGGAGCTCCCCCCTATCATGCACAGAGAGGGCCCATCAGGGGGTTGAGAAGCTCCCCCATGTCAGTCACAGAGTAGGGCCGATAGGGAAGTTGGGGCACAGCCCTTTATCACCCACAGAGCCGGGCCGATCAGGGGGTTGGGGCGCCACCACTGTCACACTCAGGGCAGGGCCGATGGGGAGGTTATGGCTCTACCCCGTCACACACAGAGCAGGGCCCATGGGGGGGGGGCGGGGGGGGAGTGCGGGGCGGTTGGGGCGCCGCACCCTGTCACACACAGAGCAGGGCCGATAGGGAGGTTGTGACCCCGTCACAGAGCCGCAGGGCGATCGGGGTTTGGGCGCTGCCCCCTGTCACGCTGATCCCGGTGCCAGGAGGCCTCGCGGCTCCGCTGATCCCGGTGCTGGGAGGCATATTGCCCTTTTACTATATAGGATAGAGGCCTGGTGCACGGGTGGGGGCCGGCTGGTTTGCCCTGAAGGGTGTCCTGGATCAGGGTGGGGGTCCCCACTGGGGTGCCTGGCCAGCCTGGATGAGGGGATGATAGCTGTTTGCAGCTGGTCACACACCCTTCAGGGTGGGGGTCCCCACTGTGGTGCCTGGCCAGTCTGGGTGAGGGGCTGAGGGCTGTTTTCAGGCTGGCGGGTGACTGAAGCTCCCAACCGCTCCTTTTTTCTTTTTTTTTATTCTGGGCCAGCTTTAGCTCTGAGGCTTGGCTCCAGCTCTTAGGCCTTGGTTGCTGAAAGCAGGTATCTGGTTTGTTTTGGTTCTATAATCAAAACACTGTTTCAACTCCAGCTCTGAGATCCTGGCTGGCTGAAAGCAGGTTTCTGGGGTTTTGTTTAGCGTCTATATTTGTAACAATGTTTCAAACTGCAAGCTCAGAGGCCGGCAGCGGCAGGCGGGGAACGTTGGAGTCCTCCGTCACTGAAGCAAGCAAGCCTCATGTTCGCTTCAAGCTGCCGGCCACCATCTTGGCTGGCAGTTAATTTGCATATCGCCCTGATTAGCCAATGGGAAGGGTAGCGGAGGTAAGGCTAATTACCATGTTTCTCTTTTTTTAGATAGGATTATATAGGATTAATGCTAAATATTTGAAATCCTACCCTCTGGGTTCTTTCCTGGGGATGCTAAATTTACATGCAGTGAACACTAAAGCTCAGATTATTTCACTTATTGGGTTTTCTCAGGCTAAGACCAGAAAAAACTTTGTGGTCGTTTTTCCCTGCTGGCCATGTAATCAGGTGTCCACACCCCCCATCTGACCACGAATAGGGACTTACCGGTTCACCACTTCCATGGAATGTAAAGACATATCCATATTGACCAGGACTGAAAAGTACTCGGTGATCTGGCTGGACTGCATCAGCTTCAGCAGCATCTCTATAGCGACGAGAGGGTTGTTCTCCACCAGGTCAGGAAGCTTGGCTGGCGTGAGGCCAATATGATAAACAAGTTTGGGGTCTTTTTCCAACTCACCAAGGAGCTAAGTTTTTTTAAAAAAAAAAAAGGTTCTTGAGTCAAAGTAGCATTCTCTTTGCTGCATACAAAAATACATATTTTATTTACAAGCAGCTACAAAATTATCTGCATTGAACCAACTTCATAAATTTCTTCCCTGAAATATATGATCATAACGACTTTGTATTTTTCAATTTACATCTGAATTATAATGATTTTAAAATATAAACACCTCTATTATTACTTTTTCCTCACCTGAGGATACGTTTTATTGATTTTGAGAAAGAGAGAGAGAGACATCAATGGGTTGCCTCCTGTGTGCGTCCCAACCAGGGATCAAACCAAAAACGTAGGTATGTGCCCTGATTGGGAATCAAACCCACAATCTTTGTGGTATACGGGATGACATTCCAACCCACTGAGCCACCCGGCCAGGGCGATAAATTAAGACAGTTTATAAATATGCCAGTGATTCCTCCTGGGAATTAAGCCAGACTCAATATTGTCTGGTTGAATAAAGTAAGTGGATTGTAACAACATTGTCCTTAAGTCCTTTGTGGGTTTCTTTTTCTGTCAAAAATAATTTTATTTACCAACCAGTTCCCCTAAAAAACCTAGACCGTAGAGAATTGAGTGACATCTAAAACAACTGCACGGCCCCGCTCCAAGTGGGAAAAGGAAGCCTGGAGAGGGAACAGGTTGGGGAGAAGAGGAGCAGGGTGGGGAGAGGGAGAGCAGGCTGGGGAGGGGGTAGTAGGCTGGGGAGGGAGGAGTAGCCAGGGGCGGGGGGAGCAGGCTGGGAGGGGAGCAGACTGGGAAGGGGGGGTAGCCTGGGGAGGGGGGGCTTTCTTGCAATCCACCCCTTTGCAGTATTTATGGTTCAAGCCACAAGCATACTTGTAATTCAAAAACAATTTTTTTCCTGCCAAATAATCAATTACTTTTACTTTAAAATTGTCTATGTTCTGTCCCCTATGTACTTTATGTACCAGAGTGGACTGTGCTTCTGGGCGGCCTAGTAAGTAAAGTGAACTACAAACAGCTGCCTACCTGACTCTGAAAGGAATATTTCTGTTGGTAACTGCACCGGAGATGTCAGCATCTCCTGACAGGGTCTCATGTGAATGTGCGACCTGAACAGGAGTCACCAACCAGACACCACCCATAGTGTGTCCTTGCCTTTCCCTCAAGGGCAGCGGGGCCCACTGTGAGCCTCAACCCCACTCCTCCCCAGCGGTGAGATGGGGCGAGTTCACCACCTGCGCTTCTTCCTTCCTCCCCCATGACAGGCTGAGAAGTCGCTCACCCTCAGGAGATTCCTGCCCAGCCACATGGATTGTCTGGCTGGCACACAGCGGGAGCCAAGTGCCAAAAAAGCCCCTCCCCCTCTCCCAGAGTCACACTGACCCCAACAAACCCCAGCACATGGTCAGTCACCAAGCTCCTGCCCCACCAGTGGGCGGGCAGAGCAGCGCTTCAGATCACCCTAGGGCAGTGATGGCGAACCTTTTGAGCTCGGCGTGTCGGCATTTTGAAAAGCCCTAACTTAACTCTGGTGCCGTGTCACATATAGAAATTTTTTGATATTTGCAACCACAGTAAAACAAAGACTTATATTTTTGATGTTTATTTTATATATTTAAATGCCATTTAACAACGAAAAATCAACCAAAAAAACGAGTTCGCGTGTCATAGGTTTGCCATCACTGCCCTAGGGGTCACTTACCACATGATGAGAAAACAAAAATCAATGCTTGACGGTTAAAGAAAAGATTTACCTGTGTTTGTTGAGGAGAAGATAAGGGGCTTTTGAAGGCTTTGGCCATTATTCTCTTGATCTCTACACCTGTGCTATTCTTAACGCACATGGATTTATCCCACTGAATGGAATGGTCGGGCTCTGTTGGGTTCAGCCAGGCCAGCTCATCCTCACAGATGTGGAGTGGAGGTGGTGGACGAATAAACTCTGGCCGAAAATGGCCTGTAAATGAGAAGTAGCACGAGACTGATTCTATCAGTGAGTTCACACTGCACACATCTGTGTGCATCTACACGCGTTTCACTTAATGAAGTAGACTAACACCCTTTTAATAAGAATATAACATGATAAAACTGTGGCTTCAAAACCAGAAGCAGAAGGGATATAGGTCAGGGTTCATTCATGATACAAAGAAGAAAGTGAAGCACACACATTATCATGCCAGAGACCAAATGGCTGTATTTCTTGAGAAGAGAGGCACCAGGAGCTGACAACCTTCATTTGAGCATGCTTACCACTCGATGCAAAGGACACAACCTGCCCTACTGGTGACAGTCTCTCGGGAAAATGAAACCCTATTTGATCTCACTCATCCTATTCTTAGTTACCACTATTCTATCCTGAGACCACTAGGCTGTGTACTAGTTCAGCCTTTGCATCTTACAACCTTGAAGTGGCAAATTACATGGAGATGAAATGTCAGGGGGGAAAAAATGTATGGTTGTCCAGTGGTTGAGTGTTGACCTATGAACAAGGAGGTCACGTGGCTCAATGGTTGAACAGTAACCTATGAACTGGGAGGAAACAGTTCGATTCCTGGTCAGGGCACATGCCAGGGCTGCGGGCTCAATCTCCAGTAGGGGGTGTGTAGGAGGCAACTGATCAATGATTCTCTCTCATCATTGATGTTTCTTTCTCCCTCTCCTCTCTGAAATCAATAAAAATATATATATTTTTTAAATGTATGGTTGACTTGACATTTTCAAATGAATCTGAAGACTTCCATAAATTCACAAATACCACATTCATTTTCATAAAACAATAAAAGTACAACAGGAAAATAAATCAAATCAACACTTCACCTATTTCATAAAACATGATTGCTCTCTAAGTTAGAAACCCACTAAAATAATGCTGGCTGGAACTTCTGCTAAACAAATTCCACACCCTGGTCTCCACACAGAGCCTGATGGCTCGTTCCTCTGGATCCCAGCCCCTGCAAAATCTGAGAGCATACTCTAGTTTACTGAAAATGTCTGTTTTCTGGCTAAGAACTAACACCGTATGTTACACTCTCTCCTCATTTACATCGCAGAACTAGCCGCTGAAGCTCTTTCCAACAGAATCAGTTTTTAACACTTCATGGGAAGCACGACACTGTGTGTCAGGTTCCCGCAGGAGGGATGCCTGGTGCCGACCGGTGTCTGCAGGTTTGCTGTCACCTGCCTCCCGTGGCCCATGCGTCAACGCTGGTCCTGGCACGTGTGAGCTACACACCAGGTGCATGAGCTTCAGGCACACCTGTGACCGGCTGAGACTACAGTATCCCACTGACGCCAGAGATGGACTGTAAACGGCACAGAGTCAGTGTGAGCCTCAGGCTCATGGGGACGCTGCGATCTGAAGAACCTGTTCTCACCCCTGAGCAGAAGGTGGGCCTTAACCAGTAAAACACAGAAGCCTATAGAACCACAAGATGCCGCTCTAATACTTCAAGTTCAATGGATTTTTTTTTAATTAAGAACTATAAGATCAGGAAAACTTTACAATGGAGAAAATAATGATAGTGATAAAATTAATAAAGAGGTATAATAATAAGCTACAAAATAGTCTCATTTCAGTAAAATCAGAAAATGTGTATCTTCACATGCGCTGATGACAGGTACTGTGATTTCATTACCGAAGGTAACTTTCACCAAGCGTCTCCACGGCCCTCTAGACACTCCACTGAGTTTCTCATTAGATTCTAGTTTAAGCAGCAATGAAACTAACAATATTTTAGAAAAGCAACTCAGGATGATGCTAAAATAAAACCGAGAGTATGAAACATGTACCTACTTTCAATAGGCGGCTTCGGTCCACTGACTAAAGCTTCTGTGATCTGAGAGGCCACGGAGCTGTCAAATCCAGAATTAGAAGAGTCCGGGTCTGGGTCACTGAGAATACTGGGGAAGCTAGCCTTACTTTGGGTTGGCAATTCAGACTGGCGTTCTGAAAAGGTCAAAAACGGAGACATTTTAAAATTGAGGGCACCTCAAAGAGAATGAAAGACAGGCTACTAACTGCAGAAAGCTACCTGCCTCACGTGCGCAAAGGGCCAGATTCAGAATGCGTGTATTCTTCTTCAAAACACCTACAAATCAATTTTTAAAAATGGGAAAACATGGGCTAATGACTTCAACAAGAGTTTTATTTTTATTTTTATTTTATTGATTTTTTACAGAGAGGAAGGGAGAGAGATAGAGAGTTAGAAACATCGATGAGAGAGAAACATCGATCAGCTGCCTCCTGCACATCTCCTACTGGGGATGTGCCCGCAACCCAGGTACATGCCCTTGACCGGAATCAAACCTGGGACCTTTCAGTCCACAGGCCGACGCTCTATCCACTGAGCGAAACTGGTTTGGCAAGAGTTTTATTTTTAAAAACCAAAAAGCCTGGACCTGGCTGGTGTGGCTCAGTTGGGTGGAGCAGTCCCATGCACCAAAAAGGTCAACGATACCATTCCCCGTCGGGGCACATACCCAGGTTGCGGTTCAATCCCTGGTCAGGGTGCGTGAGGGAGGCAACCAATCGATGTTTCTCTCCCTTCCTCTTCCTTCCTCTCTCTCAAAACTCCATAAAAACATATTCTCAGGTGAAGATTAGAAATAATAAAGCCAAACAAAAACCATAAATCCTGAATGGCCGATGAACATCTGAAAAAAATTCTCAATCCCATTAGGAACCAGGAAGAAATCAGTTAAAACACAAGGTATTATTACACACCCACCAGATGGGCAGAAATTAACAAGCCTGACATTATCAAATGCAGAGGAGGTTGTCGGGTGACTGGCACACTGCTAATGGGCATGAAAACTGGCACAGCAACGTGAAAACCAAGCCCCACTACTTGATCAGTCTCCCGTGTGCTTATGGTCCCATCTAGCAGAAATTGCCACGCGTGCACCAGGACGATACACAACAACGTCCACAGCATCATTACACCCATCAACTGTAGAGCAGATGAAGAACGTGTATTCCACTACATGGAACATATACTCATCAAAAAACAACCCAATTAAAAAATGGGCGTCCTGGCCAGTGGGTGTGGCTCAGTGTTAGAGCATCGCGGGTTCCCAGCCCTGGACATATACCTGGGTTGTAGGTTTGCTTCCCCGGCCCGTCTGGGTAGGTGCAGGAGGCAACCAATCGATGTGCCTTTCTCACATCGATGTTTCTCTCTCTTTTTTAAAATATATTTTTATTGATTTCAGAGAGGAAGGGAGAGGGAGAGAGAGAGAGAGAAACATCAGTGATGAGAGAGAATCATTGATTGGCTGCCTCCTGCACGCGCCACTGGGGATCCAGCCCACAACCCGGGCCTGTGCCCTCATCCTGGTTCATAGGTCAACGCTCAGCCACTGAGCCAGGACAACCAGGCTCTTTTTCTTGCTTTTCCTTTCTTTCCCTTCCTTCCTTCCTCCCTCCCTCCTTTCCTTCCTTTCATCCTTTCTCTCTCTTTTTCTCTCTCTCTCTCTCTCAGTCTCTCTCCTTCCCTCCCCTCACCCCACTTTCCTCCCCTCCACTCTCTAAAAGTCAATGCATAAAATATCCTCTGGTGAGGATTAACAAAACAAAACAAATCCAAATAAATGGGCAAACAGTCTGAATACACATTTTTCCAAAAAGGACAGGTGGCCATGAAAAGATGCTCAATGTAACTAATCATCAAGGAAATAGAAATCAAAGCCATGAGATATCGCCACACATGGCAGAATGGCTATTATCAAAAACACGAAACCTGGTTAAATACTCAGTTGGTTAGAGCGTCATCCCAATATGCCAAGGTTGTATGTTCAATCCCTGGTCAGGGCATATACAATAAGCAACCAATGAATGCATAAATAAGTGGAATAACAAACCAATGTTTCTCTCTCTCTCTCTCTCTCTCTCTCTCTCTCTCTCTCAAAAAGATAATCAATTAAAAAAAAAAGCTTGGCTGGTGTGGCTCAATGAGCTTCGACCTATGAACCAGGAGGTCACAGTTCGATTTCCCATCAGGAAACATGCCCAGGTTGTGGGCTCAATCTCCAGGGTGGGGCGTGCAGGAGGGAGCCAATCAATGATTCTCCCTCATCACTGATGTTGCTATCTCTCTCCCTCTCCCTTCCTCTCTGAAATCAATAAAAATATTTTTTTTAATTCTTAAATTTCAAAATATATATTTAAAAAAGTTGAGATGACAAATGCTGCAAGGATATAGAGAAAAGGGAACCTTCGTATACTGTTAGAGGAAATGTAAGTTGGTGCAGCTACAATAGAAAACAGTATGGAGGTTCCTCAAAAAAGTAAAAATAGAGCTACCATATGATCCCGCAATTCCATTTCTGGTTGGATTCACACACACACATCTCACTCACTCACTCACCACACCTTTGGTCCCTGGATCCCACTGAGAGATCGGAATCTCAGGCCTCTGCAAAGATGATCTGTGTCGCTAGTTCCAGATAAGATAGGTGGACTTGGCTTTTTCTTCCCCCACTTGGGAAATGAATGGCTTGTGACATCTTAAACTTGGGCAGGGGACCGCAGCAGCAGGCTTGGCCAGCCACTCGGCCAAGCTTCTCAATCCTACTCCAGTCATATATTCCTTTCTGAGCTTGACATACTTTAAAACTTCTCACAGGCTCTCGTCATCACAAGTTGAGGGATCAGATTTGATTCTCACATTACTGAATACAAAGCTAGCATCCTCAAGCTATGTATTACTTCTGAAGGTGAGGTCCTTGAAATTGTCTATCACCTCTGTACCCCGTTTTCATACTATCTTTGGTTTTGGAACTAATCATTTTATTTCTGTTAATAGATTGTATCTGGCACTAGAGAGTAATAAGCACTTCTGTGTACCTTCAATCTGAAAAGTCTTGAAACGATTTTTCTGGATTTCAAAAAATAACCATTATTATACTGCTAATACCCAGCAGTTAAAAAAGGAGGTCAGAATGCTGCAAGGAAAACGCAGTTTGCGGAAAGATGTCACCTTATATAAGCAGCCAAATGTCACAGGTGCATTAGTCTACGACTGGGGCCCTGTCAGAATCAATACTGTGGCTCATTTAATCACAAGGCCAAGGGTCCACCAATCTGGCTACACATCAGTTTCCCTAGTGAATCACCCTCAAGCGTAAGACCCGGGCATCTGTGTTTTTGCTTAGAGCAAGCAAGCAGGTGCCTCTCCTTCACTCCTTCTACCCAGTTCAAGAAGGTCCCCTATTTTCTATCACATCACACTTGTTTCAGCAGTGCCCATGCATTTGCTTATATGTGTAGCACAGAAGTTGCCCAAACAATCTTGAAACAGAAGAACAAAATGGAAGTCTCGCACTTCCCATTCTCAAAACTCGTTATAGAGCCACTATACTCAGAAGTGTGGCCCCGGAATAAACAGACACATAAGCCATGATACAGAACAGAAGTGCCAGGAGTAAATCCTCCCATACACGGCCAAACCATTTTACACAGTGGTGCCCGGAGAACACTGCTTTGGCTACTCAGCATCCCTTGAGATTCCATAGGAATTTTAGATGGGCTTTTCTATTTTTGCAAAACATACCTTTTATAGGAATTGCATTGAATGTGTGATCTCACTTTGAGCAAAACTGACATGAGGAACATTTTTTTATGTTTTTAACAATTTTATTCAGTGTTTTTCTTAAATTGAAAAAGCAATCCATTCAAGTGAAAACTCAAAATGAACCTAGATTATGAAGGGTTTTCCTATTCTTGTCTCTTGAATTCCCCTCCAATCCATGTATCTTACACTCCAGCTGCACAAAATCTCTCAGCTTCTGATTCTAGATTTCAAGATGTCCAATACTCCAAGTTCCTTTCCCTCTCCACCACCAACTCCCATCAGTACCCAGCAAAAGTACTGGAACTATGTTTTTCAAGGAAAATACTAATCTTTTAGCGCAGCCACGGACCTGCATGTTAAGTGGAGTAACTTAAGAAAAAACTCCTTGCTGAAACCGGTTTGGCTCAGTGGATAGAGCGTCGGCCTGCGGACTGAAAGGTCCCAGGTTCGATTCCGGTCAAGGGCATGTACCTGGGTTGCGGGCACATCCCCAGTAGAAGATGTGCAAAAGGCAGCTGATCGGTGTTTCTCTCTCATCGATGTTTCTAACTCTCTGTCTCTCTCCCTTCCTCTCTGTAAAAAATCAATAAAATATATTTGGAAATCACCCCGGTATTGCCGACATCAATCAAGGCTTAAAGGCAACAAGACTGCGGACAAAGACCACTAGGGGGTGCACCAAGAAAGCATAAAAAATGCGGAGACAAAGAAACAGGACAAAACTGTCAATGGAGGATATTGAGTTCAGAACCACACTTTTAAGGTCTCTTAAGAACTGTCTAGAAGCTGCCGATAAACTTAGTAAGGCCCTCGAAAAGACTGGTGAGACCGCCGATAAATGTAGTGAGATCCTCAAGAAATCTAATGAGACCCTCGATGTTGTGATAAAGAACCAACTAGAAATTAAGCATACACTGACTGAAATAAAGAATATTATACAGACACCCAACAGCAGACCAGAGGAGCGCAAGAATCAAGTCAAAGATTCGAAATGCGAAGAAGCAAAAAACACCCAACTGGAAAAGCAAAATGAAAAAAGAATCCGAAAATATGAAGATAGTGTAAGGAGCCTCTGGGACAGCTTCAAGCGTACCAACATCAGAATTATAGGGGTGCCAGAGGATGAGAGAGAGCAAGATATTGAAAACCTATTTAAAGAAATAATGACAGAAAACTTCCCCCACCTGGTGAAAGAAATAGACTTACAGGTCCAAGAAGCGAGGAGAACCCCAAACAAAAGGAATCCAAAGAGGACCACACCAAGACACATCATCATTAAAATGCCAAGAGCAAAAGACAAAGAGAGAATCTTAAAAGCAGCAAGAGAAAGAAACCCAGTTACCTACAAGGGAATACCCATACGACTGTCAGCTGATTTCTCAACAGAAACTTTGCAGGCCAGAAGGGAGTGGCAAGAAATATTCAAAGTGATGAATACCAAGAACCTACAACCAAGATTACTTTATCCAGCAAAGCTATCATTCAGAACGGAAGGTCAGATAAAGAGCTTCACAGATAAGGAAAAGCTAAAGGAGTTCATCACCACCAAACCAGTATTATATGAAATGCTGAAAGGTATCCTTTAAGAAGAGGAAGAAGAAAAAAAAAGGTAAAGATACAAATTATGAACAACAAATATGCATCTATCAACAAGTGAATCTAAGAATCAAGTGAATAAATAATCTGATGAACAGAATGAACTGGTGATTATAATAGAATCAGGGACATAGAAAGGGAATAGACTGACTATTCCTGGGGGGGAAAGGGGTGTGGGAGATGCGGGAAGAGACTGGACAAAAATCGTGCACCTATGGATGAGGACAGTGGGTGGGGAGTGAGGGCGGAGGGTGGGGCGGGAGCTGGGAGGAGGGGAGTTATGGGGGGAAAAAAAAGAGGAACAAATGTAATAATCTGAACAATAAAGATTTAATTAAAAAAAATAAAATAAAATAAATAAATAAATAAAATATATTTAAAAAGAAAAAACTCCTAATATAATACACAAAAATGCCCAAATCACCCATCCCTCCTTACCAGCCAAGGCGAGCTGAAGCCCGCTAATGTCCACAGACTGGCCCATGTTCCCAACATCCATCAGTGCGATCTGCCGAGGTGTCTTTTTGAAGAGTTCCCTTGGGGGTGCCAGCATTAGCTGGGAAAGAAAAAACTTTTCTGGCGGAGTTATAGGAGGTAAAAATCCTGTAAATAAAGATGTATAACAATTTCTCCAGTGATTATTTTAAAAAATTAACATGAATCTGGTAAAATTAGCATTTGCTACTTGCCATCTCAACTTATGTTAAAAGACACAATTATTTTAAGTTTCAGTTACTCAAATATATACATTTATGAAAATGTAATTCAATGTCATTTGAAATGCTATGATTTGTGGCAGTATCAATGAAAGTTAAGATTTCTGTAATTAAGAATTTTGTTTTTAACATGCCTCAATTCCTGCAAAGGCTAAAGCTTACATACAGCAAGCGAAAACAAATGTAAAACTGCAACATTCAGCAATGCTTTTCCTCTGCTACCAGCCACTGTGCGGTTAGGACGGAAGCCACCGCCAGCATTGCCCACGCGCTCCCCCCTGGCCTCCCCGCTCCCGGACCCAGCTCCCAGCTCCCAGCTCCCAGCTCCCAGCTCCAGGGCTGGCGCCGCTTCCTCCGGCCCACCCTCAGCTGCGCACCCAGCCCGCCTCCCACCCAAGCACCGGCCATCCCCTGGCCTCCAAGCCCCCAGTTCTGACTCCTGCTGACCCGGTGCCCTTAGTCCACACTCCACTTACCTTTTAGTCACATTTCTAGGAACGAATCTGCTCACACTACTGAACCTGTTTACACAGAATTACACCCAGACTTCTGCACCATGATAAAACCTTCATAATCTGGTCCTGGCCCACCTCCTAACCTCGTCTCTTTAATTCCCCTCCAATCCATGGGTCGGACGCTGCACCTGCACAGCCTCTCTCAGCTTCTGATTCCAGATTTCAAGGTGCCCAGTACGCCACATTCTTTGAGACCTGCAGGGCCCCCTCCCTCCCCGCCACCACCTCCCATCAGGACCCAGCAAAAGCGTCCCTCCTGCCCTGGCCGGTTTGGCTCAGTGGATAGAGCGTCGGCCCGCGGACTGAAGGGTCCCAGGTTCGATTCCGGTCAAGGGCATGTACCTGGGCTGCGGGCACATCCCCAGTGGGGGGCGTGCAGGAGGAGGCTGATCGATGTTTCTAACTCTCTATCCCTCTCCCTTCCTCTCTGTAAGAAATCAATAAAATATATATTTTTTTAAAAAGCGTCCCTCCTGGGGGCCGGCAGGCCACAGGCGGCTGTCCCCGGGCCCCCAGCGTCTGCAGGCGGCATGAGGCACAGCCCGACCACACACACGGTGGACTGCCTCCCAGCAGCCGAGGCCTTGCTTGAGTCCAGGGAAGCCTTCACTCCCATCCATTCCCGGCCCGGCTCCTCAGAGCCGCTCACGGGGCACCCGCTGGAGGCCCCTCGCTGGGCACCTAGCCGGGGCCTGGCCCGCCCCGCAGGCACGTGAGCGCCACCCGAGCTAATTTAACAAAAGCAGGACTGATGGGGTAGCACTTACCAAGAGATACTTTTATTCCTCATAATAACTCTACCAGCTAGGAACTGCCTGCATTTTCACAGATAAAAAACTGAGGTAGAGAGAGAGAAAATAAGCAACGCACGGCCTCCTTCCCCGGCAAACTGGTGTTTACAGCGAATCTACTGTCCACTCTCGGTTCAGGCTCGCCGCCTCAGGTTTGAGAACGACAGCACACGAGGCCTCAGCCCTGGTCTGCCCTGAGGAATTCAAAGGGCCTGGCGACCTGAACCCCAACCTGTCCGTCCCCATCCCCCAGGCCCAGGGGCACCGGGAGCCAGCCCCTGCCCGTCCGGGCATCTCCCCCCGCAGGCCCCGGGGTGAGCGCCGCAGGGAACAGGCCAGAAGCGGCGCTACCCGGGCCCCCCATAAGCACCCGCCTGCGGAGCGGCCTTCCCCCCGCGGGCTGCGAGTCGCCTAGAGCAGCAGCCGCTTAGAAAGAGCGGTGGCCTCGCAGCGACCTCGCTGCCATCTCCTCGGGGCGGCCGCGCCAGCTGTCACTGGGCACTTTCTCGGCGCCCGGCCGTCACGCGTCCCCTGCCCGCGGCCCGAGCCGAGCCGACCTCCCGCCCCGCAGGATGCGAGGGCCCAACCGCCGGCGGAGCGGGCCGCCGCGTCTCCAGACGCCGCTCAACGTGCCCTCGCAGCCACGGGCTCGGTTCGGCGCCACGGCCTCCGGCTCCGTCTGAGACTTAGACCCGGGGCAGCCCGCGTCCTTGGGCGCCGCCGCTCGGGCGGATTTCTGAGACGCTCAGCGCGCCGGGCTGGGGAGGGCGGAGCCGGTCGGAGGGCCGGGCCCGCGGCGAAGGCCCGCGGCGCGGGCGACCCGCAGCCCCCTCCTGCCCCCGGCGGCGGCCGCGCACCTGAGAGCGGAGGCCGGTCGGGCTCCTGGCCGCCGCGGGCGGGCGGCGCGGGGTTGAGCAGGTGCGCGAAGCTGGCGGCGAAGGGGTTGGCGGCGAGCGGCTCGGTGCGGTACATCTCCCAGAGCAGGTAGAGCGCCGTGAGCCGCTGCGCCGCGCTGGGCAGCAGGTCGGGCTGCTGCAGCAGCAGCACCAGCACGGAGCCCAGGCGGAAGTGGTCGGCCTTGCTGAAGTAGTGGTGGAAGGCGGTGGACAGGCCCTCGAACGTGCTGCCGCCGCCCGCCTCCTCCGAGATGATGCTCAGCAGGCTCGACAGCTCCTTGGGGCTCAGGCTCATCCTGCCCGCGGGGCCGCCGCCCGGCCCGGGCCCGCTCGCCAAGCCTCGGCCGCCGCCGGAGCCGCCCCTGGGTGCCGCCGCCGCCTCCCGAGGCCCGCTTTGTTCCGCGGCGGTGGAAAGCCGGCCAGACGCCGCGCCCGCCCCGCCGCCACGCATCCACCTCGCCCGCCGCGCCGCTCCCGCCCGCACCGCTCCCCGAGGAGTGGCTCGGCGCTGGCTCCGCGCCCGGCCGTAAAGCGCGCCACCTCACGACAGCGTCGCACACCGAGCCGGGAAGCCAAACCGCCACCGCCTAGAGGAGGAGGGGGAGGAGCAGGACGGGAGGATCCGGAAATGGCGTCGGCGAGACCGGAAGTGGGTCGGGGCCTGCCGTCACCTCCCCCAGAGCACCTCCGGCCTGGCTGCCGCGTGAGCGAGCTCCCGCGGCAGCTCCCGCCCCGCAGAGTCGCAGGAAGTGTTGTCAAGGGAAGAAACGTTCAAACCTTTTCAATGTTTTTATTGATCTTAGAGAGAGGATCACGGGTAGGCTGCCTTCTGCACGCCTCCCACCCGGGACCGAGCCCGCGACCTCAGTGCCCGGGAAGCGCCCAACCACTGAGCCACGCGGTCGGGGACCCTAGAGAATTTTTATGAGTTTATTTCAACCAAACTGACAATTGCTGGGAAGCAAAACCTCAACGGATTGAGAACACGCTCCGAAAACGGCACTTTTGAACCTTACTTTATACATTACAATTAGAAGACGTAAGATTGGCTACATAAAACCCATTGCTGATAGACTAGGGAGGCGGGAGAGAGCCAGGGGGCCCTGGGCCTGGGTGAGCAGCAGAGTGGCGGGTGCAGGATAGTCAACAGTCCGCAGTTAACAATGACAGAGAGGGTTTGTGGTCTGCCGGGGGTGCCTATGGTTTGAGGGGTGTGGGAAAAGGGAAGATACTTAGTTATTGCAAAGGTGTGTTATCAGTTCTGGTCTCCTAGGTGCATAAACAATGGGCTCGGTTCAGGGGAAGATGGACCTTTGTTAGGGGAAAATAGCTTAAAAGTTTTAATTTCGCCCTAGCCTGTTTGGCTCAGTGGATAGAGCTTTGGCCTGCGGACTGAAGGGTCCCAGGTTCGATTCCAGCCAAGGGCACATGCCCCGGTTGCAGGCTCCTTCCCCAGTGGGGGGCGTGCAGGAGGCAGCTGGTCAATGATTCTCTCATTGATGTTTCTAGCTCTCCCTCTCCCTTCCTCTCTGAAATCAATAAAGAAATATATTTTTTTAAAAAAGTTTTAATTTCACACCATCCTGTGTGGTTACTTCAAGTCTCTGAGTTTGTAAGGCCGCCATGCAGGTCCCCCCAGCTTGTCAGGTTTAGTTTGTGGCCCCTTTGGCATATGAGCTGTTACTCAACCAAAGTTAATTTCCAGTCTTATACTCCATTTTGCAGAAATGGAATCAGATTGCATGAGAGCTTTTGTACATGGTCATTTTAACAAGATTTCAGAGAAGTTTTCCAATAAATATTCATTTACAAAATTGTTTCGCAACTATTTTTTTTCCCAACTCTTTACTTAGCCTGCCCTAGGATGCTGATCCTGGGTCTTGGTTGCATGTTAAAAGCCCTGAGGTGTCTTAGTGCCTGGTCCCAGCCCCAGAGATGATGCCTGTTGACTCAGGTATTCCAGAACAAAAAGCAAAAGCACCACTGCAAGTGACTCTCATGTGCACTCGGAGCTGAGAAATGCCAGTGGCACTTCCCAGACTTGCCCAGTTCCTTCCTGGACCTACAGAAGCCTGCAGGCATTTCACTCACCAGTGATTCATTTCCACCAGGCCAGTTTTGGAAATCCAGTCTGCACTCAACAGTGCTCAGTAATTACCAACTTAAGTGCCACCTTCTAAAGTAAAATTGAAGGGGCGGAAATTGCTGGGTCATGAGGTATGCAATATTTTTAAGGCTTTTCAGTTTCTTGCTAGATGTCCTTCAGAGAGATCCTGCCAATTAACATTCCCAAAGCAGCTGTTAAAAAAATTCAATCCAGTGAATTTGAAGATCTAATTGGCTTTTTTGAAGGATTAATAAATTGGGCAATATCCCATCTAATCCTATGTAATAAAAGGCTAATATGCAAATTGTCCCTATGGGCGGGAGTTCGACTGACCAGGAGTTAGATGTGCACTGACCACCAGGGGGCAGCATGGAGCATGGTGGCACTGGCAATGGAAGCACTGCTGGCCCCAATGGGCCCCAATGAGAGCGGGACTGGCGGGATGGTGGAGCAGGTGAGTGGGCAGCACCAGGCTAAGGCAGGTGCAAAGGGAGGCTCTCGACAGCAGTTGCTAGGGACCCTACCCATGCACGAACTTTGTGCACTGGGCCTCTAGTCTATATATATAAAAGTCTAAGCAACCATTCGACCAGTAGCTATGACACACACTGACCACCAGGGGACAGATGCTCAACGCACAGGCATGGAAACATGGAACAGACTGATGAATCTCAGGGGGGGAGGGGAGAGGGAAGGGCAGGAAGAGATTAACCAAAGATCTTATATGCATACTAGAGGCCCAGTGCGCGGATTCTTGCCCTGGTGGGGTGTCCTTCAGCCTGGCCTGTGGAGATCGGGCTGAAACTAGCAGTCTGACATCTCCCGAGGGGTCCCAGATCCATGCACTGGGCCTTTGGTAAACAATAAGAGAGGCTGCTCCACGGGCCTGTACAAAACGGAAGATTTTTCTAGGAAACTCAGTGGGACAAAAAGTTAAAAAAAAAAAAAATTGCTTCAGGCAAGGTCACCTATCTTTGGAGGAAAAGTGACAGGGGTCTTATCAACTAACGTTTTCAGTTCACGTTCCGGAGCTTGCATGGTGCTTCTGTTTGAGACATTACAAAATATTTGCACATTGTGTTACCCCCCTCAAAAAAAAACTTGTTAAAGTGAAAACTACAGTCTCACAATGCAAAATGGCATCACTCATGCTAAAAGCCCATGATACCAAACCTAGATTTAATACCTGACATAATTGTTATTTCACCCTCTCCCAGAAATATAATTTTAATTAACCCGTTGGAATTTTCTGGTCAAGTGCCAGGAAGTTAATGTGTCAGTCCTCTCCATCCACCATGAAAAGAAGAGGCATTCTGCATGATACACACCTTTCCCATTCCTGCCCAAAATGAACTTATTTTCTTTCGTTAATAGTTGCCTTGCCCACTTTGCTTCCTGTAAAAACCTTCCATCTTGAATGGCCTCCGAGAATTCCCTTCTCGCTGCTACATGGGATGCTGCCCAACTCAGTAATCACTTAGGGAAGCTCATTAGACCTTCAAATTTACTCAGGCGAGTTTTGTTTTGAACACATTAAGCGCCCTGTCAGTCACCGGTGGCTGACACTATACTTCCCATCCGGAAAACAAAACAGGCTGGGCGCTTAACGTGTTAATAAACAATACCTTTTTTTCTGTAGACGCATTTTCAAAATTAAGATATCCAGAGCTTCCTGTGTATTCCCTGAGAACACTCAGGCCCTGAGTTAATTTCCTGGTGACCACACACTGGGTGGCCTGGCCCGGCAGAAATGTGCTCTGACCCTGTGGAAGCCGTGCCTCCGCAGCCCTCGAGAGAAGGCCTACTAGTCCCCAGCCTCTGCTGGCGGCAGCGTTGGCGCTGGCCCTCGGCTCACAGCTGCACGTTCCAGCCCCTGTCTCCGCATCACACAGCTTTCTTCCAGGCCCTTCCCATGAGGACACCAGTCAGTGGATTTGGGGCCCACTCTAACCTGGTGTGACCTCATCTTAACTAATTACACCTGAAAAGACCCCATTTCCAAATAAGGTCACATTCTGAAGTTCCAAGTGGACATGAATTTTGGGGAGACTCTATTCAACCCAGTAGAAGCCCTAAGCGCTCATGAACATATGTCTTGGTAGTTCAACCCCCCTCATCTCTGCCCTTATTTTATTAACCTAAAAGTAAAAGGCCAAAGTGAGGGGCAGCAGCATTTATTTGAGATCAAAAGCATAGCTATTTGGGAAGCACTGATTCAGGCAGAAACCCAAATGATGCTTCAAGTAGGAGATTAGGAGGAGGCCAGGGTCACTTATGAGACAGGGAAGGAGAACAGTTACATTGATGAAGGAAGGTTCTCCCCAGGTGCAGATAAGCTAACATAGTGATGCTCGTTCTAAAGGGTGTTTCTCATTTCTAGTTCCATAGGTGTCATCCCTCCAATAGTCAGAATATCTGCTTTCTTGTTACCTTTGCAGACAGTCCTGCGGTCCTCTCTGCTCCACTGGTTGGCAACCCTGACTTGAGCTTGCAGGTTCTCTCAGGTCTGGCTCTGGAATGTGGTTTCCTGTAGAGGTGGTCAGTTTTCCCCCGCAGGCTCCAGGCACATAGGGGAGAGCCTGTTGCAGTTCCCTGGACTAGAGCTATCCGTGTGTCCTGTGATAAGGGTTGGGTTGCTTATGACACTGAACACATGATGACAGTAGCATCTTTGACCTAAAATGTTCAGTTGTTAACACTGGAAGGAATGTGGGTATTTCAGAGATCTTGGATCTCTGTGGGTGAGCTGACCTGGGGGCTCTATGTTTACTCATGCCGTTAGCTGTTTAGGAGCTAATGATGCTGCTGCAAATCAGCTGATTTAATTTAAACTGTTGGTCAGTCCTCAAGATGGAGCTCCCTGCTTTGGGGATGTCAGTGGCCTGCACATCCGTGCCAGCCCCTTGTCGACTCAGATCTGACCTTGTGATGCTCACACTGTTCCTTCTTTTTCCCAGGGCAGCCTTCTGAGTGGTCGACAACAATCCAGGGAAGGCCCAGATTAAAGCATGCGCAGCCCTAGCTGGTTTGACTCAGCGGAGAGAGCGTCTGGCCATGGACTGGAGGGTCCTGGGTTTGATTCCAGAAAAGGGCACATACCTCGGTTGCAGGCTCGATTCCCAGCTCTGGTTGAGGCACGTGCAGGAAGTAACCAATCGATGTGTCTCTCGCATGGATGTTTCTCTCTCTGTCTCTCCACCTCCCTTCCACTCTCTCTAAAACTCAATGGAAAAATATCCTCGGGTGAGGATTAACATAAATAAAGCATGCATGCACAGGCGTCCTGCTGCTGCTGCACCACATGGTGTCACATTTGGCTCCAGTCATGTTGGCCATGGTGGGCAGCACAAGAACAAGATAATTTTGATCACACTTACCAAACACGTCTCT